AGATTAAAGAGCGTTTGCCTCCTACAAATCCTGGAGCAAAAATCTATTTTTAGCCCCTCAGCATTCTGAAACCTTGGCCAGCGTTAAGGAATGGAGCCTGCTACCAACATGACATCCACGCCTGTTTCCCCTGGCAGCAATGTGATCCAAGGAGAGTATCCCATTTCCTTGCCCCATATTATTGGACTGAATATAGGGAGGGGGAAGGAAGGATAGAGAAAGGAGCAATAAATATATTTCCAGGGGAGGGAGGGAGGGGACTTTTAATAACAAATGTCTTTTTTTTTTTTAGTTAACATCATCTCATTTAGAGCTATTGTAAAAATATGCTGTATTTGAGCTCACTTCTACCATTATGCAATGTGGAAATTACTGTAGATGGCAGATTCGGTCTGTTCTTTCTGAGTTCTACTTACCCTGGAGAACAGACTGAGTTCACTTGGATCGGTCCTAAAATGGTCTGTTCTGGATTTGGCTTAATGTGATTTGTATGGAAAAGAATATGTAATTAATGAACCTGTATGCTGTCTCAGCCACAGAGGCAAGTCTAGGCTGCTTATCTGTGTGTGTGTACGTGTGCCTTGCTTTGAGTCAGTGTTAACTCCTGGCAACCATCTTAACTAATCTCTGATGTTTTCTTGGCAAGGTTGTTCAGATGTGGTTTGCCCTTGCCTGCTTCTTAGGGCTGAGAGAGACTGACGGGACCAAGGTCATCCAGCTGGTTTTGTGCTAAGGTGGGACTTAACCACTATACCAAAATTGGATCTAAAGTGCTTTAGATATCCTAATATATTTTTTTTAATGTCAGCTTTTCCAGTCATTTCCTCTCCGGATGGTTCTATATTTTAACGATTCTAATTTTTACTCCATTTTTTTAATTCTATTTTTATCTTTTTCAAAAAATGTTTCCATTTGTGTGGTGTTACATTTTCAGCTTTTAAAATGTTTTTTTACAATGCTTGTACAAAAATCAGACGTAAAGATTCCACATTCGGTGAATATGTGCACAGGAAATGCTTCTGGTAAATCACAAATCCCCATAATCGGCAGCGCATGTTCGTATAGTTCCCTAAAAATATTCAAAATACCGCTTGTGTCAGAATAACAGGTTTGCTTCTAACAGTGATTCACTCCTCTCGCCGGCTATATAAAGAAAATCTGGGGCTCCAGTACGAAGAGCGGAGCCTGTATATGTAAGCATCTGCGTCAAGGACAGAGGCCTTGCATTTCTGGTGGCTGTTGGCATCTGGCCAAGCAGCTTGGTGCATGATATAGTAACAAATCGGCCTTTTCTCTTCTGATGAGATGGCAAGAATGCAATTCTGTTCGACAGCTGAAGGGCAAAAGGAGAACAAAAGCTGAGCAGCTGAATCTTGTGCTCTTTATTTTTTTGCTTTCATCCTGTGGTCTTGAAATGGCTCACAGGGAATCTTTTACTTTCTCAGACCTTCTCGGTCTCCTTCCTGGAAGTTGAATGTGTGGCGATTCCGTTTGAAGGGAAGGAGATTAGGAGGAAGTCATCCAAGTATAGTTGTTGTGGATACAGGGAGATTTGAACCCTGTCCATCCTTATTCAACTCTCCTATTATGATCCACGCTGGTTCCTTTACCTTATTAGGGCAAGGTAAAGAAAGAAAACAGATGCACTGCATAAGATCTTATCGCCAAAGCAATTGAATTTCACAATGTTGTAGTGCCGTCTCTGGGGAAATAAATTTTCCTCTGGCATGTTTATTGTAATTGTGACTGCTAGATGGAACAGGCTTGTACGAATGACATAATCACTTTGTGGCTATGCCTCTGCCATCATCCCGACAATTCACACACACACACACCCCCCCACACACAGCATGTTGCCTGCTGTCTTATCTCAAAGGGCTGCTTTAAGACAGCCTCATGTTAGTGCCTCAAACTCCCAAAGGTGGCATCTGTCTGCCTGCCCCACCCTTGACTATCCTGCACCAATTGGTTACTATAAGGTTTACAACAAAATGCCATGCTGGGTTTACAGCTAGATGGATGCTCTATATTGTAGGCTAGATACACTACAGGTGTATATATACACACTTGAGCCCATCATTTCTGTTGCTAAGCGAGACAGTTGTTGTGAGTTATGTCCCATTTTACGACCGTTCTTGCCACTGTTGTTTAGTGAATTACTGCAGTTATTAAGTTAGTAACACTGTTGTTAAGTGAATCTGGCCTCCTCACTGACTTTGCTTGGCAAAAGTGGATTCCATGAACCCAGAACGCTACCTGCAACAGTTATAAATGTGAGCATCTGACTTTTGATCACGTGACCACGGGGATGCTGCCACGGTAGTGTGAAAAATGATAATATGTCACTTTTTTTTTAGTACCATTTTAACTTCAAAAGGTCACTAAATGAACTGTCATAAGCTGAGGACTTCCTGGGTGTGTCCTCTTGTTAAATCTGCTAAATGTTTGAATTCTGTTCGTTTAGTTTATTATTGCATTCTCTGGATTCTCAAAGGCTCCATCACAGTTGCCCTGTTGAGTAACCCCAGTTGGTTAAACATGTCTCCCCATCCCATCTTTAATCCATGAACCGCTCCATTCCCCTGGCTCTCATGTCTTTGGCTAGGAAACGGAAGAACATTCCCAATTTAGTGTATTCCCAAAACCTGGCTAGGAATTATGGAATTGGTAGTCCCAATATATCTGGAATGAGGCTGGCTTCCTAGAGGAATTCCTTCATCCCCTTCCTACCACACTTTCACCAACTGGATTATCAAATTGCGAATGCCTTAAATTTCCTAATTTTTATTTTAAAAAATGTGTGTGTGGGGGTTTGTTTTCTATGATTTTTATTATGTTTTATGCATTAAAATGGGCATGCTTAAGTTGCTGTCATCCAGTGGTGGGTTGCCCCCGGTTCGCACCGGTTCTATAGAACCGGTAGTAAAACCGGCGGGAGGTTCCGCCCACTGACCCCGACATCATCAAAATGCTTCTGCGGCTGCACGGCCCCGTTGTGAACTGGTAGTAAAGGTAAGTAGAACCCACTCCTGCTGTCATCTGCTTGTGAGCATCTGAATGCCAGAGAGGGATATGCATGTTTTAAATCAATGTAAAACCTAGATTACTAGTTGATATATTTGTTCAACACTGAACTCATATTAAATTCTGGAGAGATAAAAATAAGCTAAAAACACCCTTGGGTGAAGCTTTTAATTTTAAAACAAAGTTAGATGAAAAAGGGAACGGATCACAAAAGAATACATGACCAAAAAAAAATGTCACCAAACAACAAAAGAGAAAAGAAATATACATGTCTGCATGTGCTTCTTTATAAATCTGGATGAAAACTAAGGAAAAAAAGATTTCTAATACAAATAGAGGAGGTTTGAGGTCTCACCGCCTTATGGTGGTGATTAGGTGACTTGGTTCCCTCCTTCTGGATGGTCTGCTTGAAGACTCCCTTCCCTCCTTCTCTCCCTTTAAAAGAGGTATAGACTGGACAGCCCATCAGATAAAAACTGCATCAAGTTAATGACTGTCCCTCTTCAACTAGGACATTTAATCCCAAACAATCTTGAACACCAGGGCCTGGTGGCTCAGCAGACTGATAGCATTGTGATTAACACCAGCTGTCTGCAATTACTGTAAGTTCGAATCTCACCAGGCTCAAGGTTGACTCAGCCTTCCATCCTTTCTAAGGTAGGTGAAATGAGGACCCAGTTTGTGGGGGCAATAAGCTGACTTTGTATAAATATACAAAAGTATGAAGGCTATTGCTTAACGCATTGTAAGCCGCCCTGAGTCTCCTGAGAAGGGCGGCATATAAATCAAATTTTAAAAAAACCAAACAAACAATTTTTTGGTAACAAATTATTGCAAAGAGAGAGGTGTCAAACTCAAGGCCGGTGGGGTGCTTAAATCCGGCCCGTGGGGCTGGCCTGGAAATATCAAAGGACTGGCCCGCAGTGCTTCTGCTGTCGAAAAACGGCCCATTTTTCGGCTGGCAGAATGCTGCAGGAGGCCATGGAAGGTGAAAACAAGGTGCGGGGGAGCTGCATGCAGCCCTCCCGTGCCAGTTTTGGCCGGCAGGGTGCTGCAGGAGGCGTCCGTCTTGTCTTCCCCGCTGCCCTGCCTACCGGCCCGCAGAAAACTATAATGCTGATCTGGCCCTCGAAGAAATCCAGCTTGACACCCCTAGTGCAGAGGTACTGAGTTGGATGCAGACAGAAGAATGAATTTTTCTCAGTGGAAGAGAACAGCAATAACACTTAGTCTTATATACCGCTTCACAGTGCTTTACAGCCCTCTCTAAGCAGTTTACAGTGTCAACATATTGGCCCCCCCCAACAATCTGGATCCTCGGTCTTTTCCAGTTGTATGTCCTTTAGATGTGGTGGGCTGCATCTCCATAATTTTCAGCAATTCCGGAGAAAAGTCTTTCTTAGGAATCTGAATTCTTCATTTAAAACTAATTTTTGCATTCAGGTAACACATGCCATAAAACCAGGGATGTCAAACTTAATTTCATTGAGGGCCACATCAGGACTGTGGTTGACCTCAGGGAGTGGGTGGGCATGGCCAATTTAGTGGGTGTGGCTGACTGGGTGGGTGTGCTTGATGCCACTCCGCAAACTTGACGCCACTCCCCAAACTGCTGGCATGTTTCCTCTTCGCATTGGGTAGACCGGGCTGAAGCTACATTGTCCTGATCTTTCCTCTTCACACTGGGTAGACCAGGACAGCCCCATGGGCCGGATCCGACCACACTGCATGCCAGATCTGGCCCACAGGCCTTGAGTTTGACACCCCTGCTATAAACTATGCATCTAGTACCTGTTCAGAAATGTCCCATTGGGTTCACTTGGAGTTATTTTGAAGAAAGAGTACTTAAGGTTGCAGAAAGATATTGTGCTATATGGAGGAACTGAAGTGATGAAAATTCCAAGGTCAAAGGCTTGATATAGCTTAACGCATTGTAAGCCGCCCTGAGTCTCCGGACAAGGGCGGCATATAAATCAAATTAAAATATATATATATATATAGGATGGCCCCCAGGTTAACAGTAGTTAACAAATACAATTCAAGTTGATTTAGTGGATAGCACTTATAAAAACGCATCCACTCTGACAATGTCCCAGTAGGGTCCTATTGAGAAAATGGACCTGGATGGACTTCTCTTAAAGGCCTCTTGCTCTTCTCAGCCAAACATAAAGTTCTTCTAAGCAAAGAAGTCCAAGCAAATCTGAGTGGAAAGCCTAAAATGCTTTGACCTCAGTACTCGTTCACCAGATCCTCAGTGCCCAGCCTTTGCAGCCTTTGTAGAGCACACTCAGCTTGCAGACGAGCGTCTGGTTCAGGGTCCCAACAGTCTTCCAGGAGCTCCTGCAAGGAAATAGCTACCTAGGGGACAGGAGAGAGAAGAGGAACAGCAATTGTCAGGAAGAGACAAGAGGAACTCCTACTAGAAGACTTAGAACCTAGAATAACAGAGTTGGAAGGGACCTTGGAGGTCTCCTAGTGCAACTCTCTGCTTGACCAGGAGACCCTATACCATTTCAGACAAATGGCTGTCCAGTCTCTTCTTGAAAGCCTCCAGTGTTGGGGCACCCATAACTTATGAAGGCAAGCCGTTCCACTGGTTAACTGTTCTGTCAGGAAATTTCTCCTTAGTTCTAGGTTACTTTTGTCCTTGATTAGTTTCCATCTATTGTTTCTTGTCTTGCCTTCTGGTGCTTTGGAAAATAGGTTGAACCACTCTTGTTTGTGGCAGCCCCTCAAATACTGGAATAGTGCTATCATGTCTCCCCTTGTCCTTCTTTTCACTAGACTAGACAAACCCAGTTCCTGCAACCGTTCATATGTTTTAGCCTCCAGACCTCTAATCATCTTTGGTGCTCTTTCCTGCACTCCTTCCAGAGTCTCAACATCTTTTTTGTATTCTAACATCTTTTTTGGTAGTATTCCAGTACTACCAAAACTGGAAGTACTATTCAAAGTGTGGTCTTACTAAGGCTTTATAAAGCGGTACTAGTACTTCACATGATCTTGATTCTATCTCTCTATTAATGCAGCCTAGGATTGCATTGGCTTTTTTGGCTGCTGCCAATACATTGTTGGCTCATATTTAACTTCCTCCCTAGTGGTATGTGATACTGATATAGTTATATTGATATTGTTTCCTAATTGCTTATTTGTACCCTATGATTGGACACACAAGGAATTTGTCTTGGTGCATACGCTCTCAGTGTACATAAAAAGAAAAGATACATTTGTCAAGAATCATAAGGTACAACACTTAATGATAAAGTCTTATACCTTATGATTCTTGACAAATGTATCTTTTCTTTTTATGTATACTGAGAACGTATGCACCAAGACAAATTCCTTGTGTGTCCAATCACACTTGGCCAATAAAAAATTCTAGTCTAGTCTAGTCTAGTCTAGTCTAGTCTAATGTCTTATTCTAGATGTTTGCCGTTTGCATCCTTCCCAGCCAGTGCTGATGAAGACCTGGGAATCCAATGCATCTGGAAGGCGTAGCAAAAGCTGTTGCAGGAGGTGTGACACGGGGTGCAAATAAGCCTCCTGTATCTGGAATAAGGAATTTCAACAGAGCTTTTGTGGCTAGTCATTCTAGTGAGACCCCCATCTCTAATACAGATGTTGGGGAACGTGATTTCTCTGCGCATAACTAGGCAGACTTTGGACTTGAGAAAGCTAATTTTTTAAAAGAGAATTTTGACATCCACCCAGCTGCAAAGAGACATACAATTCTGAAATCAGGCTTTCATTTAGTGTATAAGAACCCTCCTTTTCAAAGCAAACTCTACCATTGGTTACTCCAAGCTCCTCCTACTTCAACTATTTTTAGCACAAGGCAAGGGAGTTATTTTGTTCCTCTTGCCACTAATAAATAGGAAATGAAATTCTTAATGAACTAATGTAAAATACCCAGAGTTCTACCAGTGGATCCAGATTTAACTTCTATTCTCCTTGCTGTCGTTAAAAGGTCATGGTTCTGTTCACTGAGCCTCCCCTCTTGTCTTTAGCCCCAGATCTTTTCTCTCCATTAAAGTTCTCTAGGAGCTTGTTCCATCTTCTCCTGCGATAATCACCTGATGGATTTGTCCCCATGACAGTTGCTCCTGCAACATTACTATCTTTTTAGCTATCTTTTTTTTGTTAGATTAATCCAGAGGTGGGGAACTATGGCCCTTTTATGACTTGTGGACTTCAACTCCCAGAATTCACGGCTGGCTCAGGAATTCCAGGAGTTGAAGTCCACGTGTCATAAAAGAGCCATAGTTCCCCACCCCTGGATTAATCCCTTTCATTCCTTTTACTGCATCTAGATTGGGTCCAAGGTTTTGTTGTGCTGCCCTAAGAGCAAAAAGGCATCAGGGCTCTTGCCATTTCCACCTCTCAATTAGGTAATACTCCCAAAACCTCCATCAGCCATGCAGTATTTTTGTTCTCCTCAGCTTCTGCCTTGAACTCGGGCCACTATCTCAGGGCAGAAAAAATATTGCCCAAGGGTCAGTGGTGGAATTCAAACTTTTTACTACTGGTTCTGTGGGTGTGGCTTGGTGGGCGTGCTGTGATGTGGCTTGGTGGGCGTGGCAGGGGAAGGATCCTGCAAAATCTCCATTCCCTCCCCACTCCTGGGGGAAGGATATTGCAAAATCTCCATTCTTACCCCACTCTGGGGCCAGCCAGAGGTGGTATTTGCCAGTTCTCCGAACTACTCAAAATTTCCGCTACCGGTTCTCCAGAACCTGTAGAACCTGATGAATAGCACCCCTGCCAAGAGTCAAATACAGGCTTATCCTATGTGTGGCCTCCAGAACTGACAGGGCCGACTTTTCAACCTGTGTTCTCTCCTTTTTCTCTTTTTTGGCAGAGGGACAGGGCTAAGGCACAAGCTGTGTTTCCTTAGCCTTGCATGGTTTAAGGGACCCAATTATATTTCTTAAACTCAACTGCTGGTCCATCCTCTTTAGAAATGTGGCTGCCAACATATTGTCAAGCAGGAGTCACCAACCTTTCGGACCTCAGGGACCACTAAATTCATAATTTTAAATCCCACAGACAACTAATACAAATCTAGCGTGTCGCTTGCTGAAGCGCCTGGACTCCCAGTGACAGGATGGGGTCCTTCAGGCACTTAGTTTGGCTGCCTGTTTGGACCTGTTTCCCATAGAAAACAAAACACCGCCCCCTCTTGCACCATTACCTCATTCCAGCTGGCGAAGGCTGTGCTACTCCTTGTACATTGCACCACCTGCAAAGTTACACGTACCTCCCTCTGTGGCAGAGATTTCCAACCCCACCATGAGCTGCCTGGCTGGTCCCATATTCCAGAGCTCTAGTCACAGGACTGGCCATTAGTCATCCCGGAGCAGCTCCTCCACCCGAGTGCGCCACGGACCACCAAAATTTTCTCACGGACCACTGGTTGGTGACTTCTGGTCTAAAGCCTACTGCCCCATATTCAAGCCTACGTATGTTGTGGTTTAACGTACTTGCCCAAATCTTGTCCAAGTTGGTGGGACAATTGGTCTTCGTCTTTCCTCAACAGCCAACCTTCGCAGTTCACTGTACGTAGGGCTGCTGCCTAATTCTGTTTCATAGGCAAGCTGGAATGGGGGAATGTTGTTCTCTGAAGAGACAAAAATGGCCTGTCCTTTCAAAGCAGGGTTTGTGCAAACACACGTGTGGGCCAAGCATATCCAGTGCACGAAGAGCAAAGTTATTGCTTCAGCTGACTTCTACACATTTCACAGTACCTACCCATCCCATAACAAAATTCCACTTTCAAATAATTGCGGCATTGCTGGACAGTGGTTATCCCTGGGCTCAGAGTCCCAATCTGTTAGTACAGGTAGTCCTCCATTTACGGCCACAATTGAGCCCAAGGTTTCTGTTGTTAAGCAAGACAACTGGGAATTTTGCTCCATTTTAGGACCTTTCTTGCCACAGGTGTTAAGTGAATCTCTGCAGTTGTTAAATTAATACCACAGTTGTTGAGTGACTCTGGCTTCCAACCAGTTGCCAAGCGTCTGAATTTTGATGAGGTGACTGGGGATAGTGTGCAACCGTCGTAAGTGTGAAAAATGGCCATAAGTCCCTTTTTTTTAGTGCCTCTGTAACTTTTTTTTTATTTAAAAAGTTTTACAAATACATTTTCTCCCCAATTTCCCCCCCTGACCCTCCCTGACCCTCCCTAACCGTCCCTTCCCCCCATGACTTCCTCAAAATATAATCCAAATCAAAATCACATTTTATAAAACTTGAACCCCTCCACCCCCTGTATATTATTCAAATCTTCATAAAATTCAATTATTCTATCCCTATATAATACATTCAGTTAAAAGCTATCTGATATTTCCTAGTTTGATATTTATTCTGCACATAATCTATCCACTTTTTCCACTCCCATACATAAGTCTCTTGAGTCCGATCTTTTAGATATGCTGAGATCTTCGCCATTTCTGCAAAACTGGCCATCTTCATAATCCATTCTTCAATAGTAGGCATAACATCATTTTTCCAATATTGACCTATCAATAATCTCGCTGCTGTCACCATATACAATATCAACTTTGTTTCATCCAATGTGAAACCCTTAACTATACCCAATAAAAACAATTGTGGAGAAAACTGTAGTTTTTTCTTCAAAACATTTTGCATAACCCACCAAATTTTTATCCAAAAAGCCTTCACTTTCTTGCAGGTCCACCATATATGATAATATGTAGCATCTAAACAATCACATCTTCAACATTTTGGTTGAACATTAGGATACATGCAAGACAATTTCTTAGGATCTAAATGCCACCTATAAAACATTTTATAAAAATTTTCCCTAAAATTCTGCGACTGTGTAAATTTAACATTCTGGACCCATATTTTTTCCCATGTTTCCAACATCACTGGCTCTGCAAAATTTTGCGCCCACTTTATCATACAATCTTTAACCAATTCATTTTCCGAATCTCTTTCTAACAAAACATTATAAACCCTCTTAATATGCATTGGACCTTTCTCTTTTATATGTCTAACCAATTCTTCTTCATGCATCATTATATCAGTTTTTTGGTCTTCTTTCCATCTCAGTTGAAGTTGATTATACTGTAACCAAGTTAGTGCCTCTGTAACTTTGAACGGCCACTAAACAAATGGTTATAAGTTGAAGACTACCAATAAAGGAGACTCGGCAGGTTGCACTGCTATTAGTGGTCACTGACACCCCCTGTGTACCGATATTGATTCACAAAAGGAAAGGCAGAAACTAGTTATCCATTTACGGTTGTTGGTACTGAAAATTATCAAGAGAAAGCGATTCGTAGGAGTTAATATACCAAAAGGAATCTTTAGTGTGTTGCTGCCTATTTTCATCCTGTCACCTTTTGGGGGGGGTTGAGCCTTGCATGTGGGCAAAGATTGTCTTTAGTCTCAAAAAATGTGCACTTTCTTGCTCTTACCTGCAGAGCAAGCAACCTTTCTCAGCCTTGTCAACTTTAAGATTTGTGGACTTAAACTTCAAGTATGCTGACCGGGGAATTCTGGGAGTTGAAGTCCACATATCTTAAAGTTGACAAGGTGGAGAAACACTGCTGTAGAGGGATAAAATCTTTCACATTGCAGACACATACTGCTATTAAACGTTAGTGGCCTCTCAGTAACACATGCTCAACCAGTGTACAAGTAGTTCTCAACTTACAACAGTTTACTTAGTGACCGTTCAAAGTCACAGCGGCACCGAAAAAAGTGACCTACAACCATTTTTCACACTTACAACCATTGCAGCTTCCCCATGGTCACGTGTTCAAAATTCAGACGCTTGGCAACTGACATATTTATGATGGTTTTGCACAGGGGAGAAATCTACTTTCCTTCCCTACCGGTTTGCCAATGTGCACGTGCCGTTGTCTGCACATGCACAAAGCCTTCTGCGCATGCGCAGAGGCTTAAAATGTCACAAAAAAGCGACGTCATGATGTCCGCATGGGTGGGCGGAGCTTCCCGCAGCTGCTGCTACTGGTTCGCCTGAACCGGATGGAACCGGATGGATTTCACCCCTGGTTTTGCAGTGTCCCGGGGCCATGCAACCCCCTTTGGCGACTTTCTGACAAGCAAAGTCCATGGGGAAGCCAGATTCACTTAACAACTGTGTTACTCGCTTAAGAGCTGCAGTGATTCACTCAACAACTGTGGCAAGAAAAGTCATAAAATGAGACAAAACTCACTTAACAAATGTTTCATTTAGCAACAGAAAACTTTGGACTCAATTATAGTCGTAAGTCAAGGACTACCTGTATTCCAATCCAGCCTCTACTCTTAAGAAAAATACTTTTTGCATGGAGGACTCTGCCCATTCCCTGGATACAAGCTCCAATTTATTGACTCGGAACATGCAATATTTTTCTCCTTCCACAATCTTTTCTCTTTAGCAATAGGTCTTGCTAGGAGACTAGGGGTCTGGCTAGCGCCCAGATAGGCTGGGGTGCTTTTGCTCATGCTGCTCCATCAATGACTCCATCTCATTGTACAGAGATGAGTCACCGTACTGCTGGAAATGATGTCTCGAAGCAACAGAAGCCTCTTGTCTCAAGTGATTTAAAAGGTCACACAAAATCTGAAGAAGAGAAGGGGGAAGAGGAAGCAGAATGAGACTGAGTTCAATAAGACCAAGATCATATAATCCCACCCCGGAAATCTACGGTTCAGCTTTATCCTTTCAAGCTGAACGTGTCAGCATTTGTTGTTGATCAAGGGCAGGATGTGCTTCTAAATTGCCACCAGATGGCAGCATACCCCACACCATGATCACCGCTGTATGCTCTCCCTCTTTATATCTTGGCAGAGCTGGCTAGCCAAGGTAGGAGAAATTTGTCCTTCTGCAACAAAACAGGAATAACTATTGCCACTATCCGAAATCAGACCAAGCTATAATGTGGTGCCTCAAACAGGCAAGGGGGGGGGAGGCATTCATGACTTCAGCATGTGAAACTGTTCTCGGTTATTAGTGCAACCGGTTGAGACCATAATAAAGGACGGAAATCAAGTTCTCTCCTGCCCCTTCAAAGGGAGATATGTGGGAATGGAAGAATACCAGGTTATAGCAGCCCTTTGGCTACCACGCCCATTATAGATTGGCCGCATTTGTGAAGAAACGCAGGACTATGGATCAGTTTCTCTTTATCGATCAGAAGAACAGGGCATGATTTCTGTTAATAAACAAAAATAGGCTTACCAAGAATATTTGTAGCTCAGGGTTGAAATGAGGGGTCCTTGGTGCTCTCTGAGCTTAGTTTTCTTGGGGGTGTTTCATTACCCAAACTAGGTAATATTGCTCATGATGTTATCTAGTTTGCGTAATGAAACACCCCAGTGGTGAAATCCAATTTTTTTTTACTACTGGTTCTGTGGGCGTGGCTTGGTGGACGTGGCAGGGGAAGGATACTGCAAAATCTCCATTCCCACCCCACTCTGGGGCCAGCCACAGGTGGTATTTGCTGGTTCTCCAAACCACTCAAAATTTCCGCTACCGGTTCTCCAGAACCTGTCAGAACCTGCTGGAAACACCCGCAAGAAAACCAAGCTCAGAGAGCACCAAGGACTCCTCAAAAATAGGCTTAATTTTATTTTTTTTTAACTTGCATACCAACGCAGGGGGTATACAAATAGTGAAGGCAAGGGTGACTGCATCTTGGAGGCTGCCAGCACAGGGGCTCTGGATTTCGACCTAGCCCCTCCTGTCCTTTTGCCTTAAATCTTGCAACAACAAATACACACACACAGTTGGGGGGGGGCTTGATAGCAGCAGCAGCAGGCAAGTAGCATGGAGGGAGGGAAGGAAGGAAGAAAAACTGCTGCTTCCCCCACAGCCAGCTGTCGCATCAATCGGCTATACGAGCACTGTAGCCTCATCTTATCAGCTCTTTTCGGGAAGACCTGGTCAAGAAACACAGACACTGTGAACTAATGGAACTCTACTGTATTATTATTATTACAGGGTATGTTAATCAAATATTGAAAACCTGAAGGAGATTCTCTTTTTCCCTTTTATATTAGCCTGGTGCAGCTATCTTGATTTCTTTCTTCCCGCCTGCATCCCCAATCTGGGCCAAGTTGATGTTTACAAAGTGGCCCTTGGATTTCTTCTTCAAAGCTATCTTCAAACTCCTCTGTACCTCTCCTCAGTCAGGAACAGGAGACTGAGAAGCCAGGTCAGGGGTGGGGGGTGGAAATAGCTATGGGGCTCAGACTTGCTACTATAGCCATAGCAGATAAACAGGGGCTTTAGGAACCCTGCCCCCTTCTCCTGCCCCTACTCAATGGTAGCAGTTGGGGCAAGAGGCCTGAGGCCTCTCACCCATTGGACAGTCAGTCTGAGGCAGTGGTGAGTTGCTCCCGGTTCGGTCCGGTTCTATAGAACCGGTAGCAAAACCGGCGGGAGGCTCCACCCACCCGCCCCCACGTCATCAACGGTGATACGCGTGCTCCCATTGCGAACCGGTAGTAAAGGTAAGTAGAACCCACTCCTGGTCTGAGAGGTTTACTTTGGATGGCACAGCTCTGCCATCATGTCTGCATCAAAAGGCATATGCACATGAAATAATAAAGGGGGTGCATTTATCTTCACTGTAGTAGATTTGTGAAATCAAAACTTGTTAGGGGTATAGCTTGTGATACAATCATGGGTGAAATTCTGGATTCAAATACAAATAAAAACTGTTTCAGTGCCAGATCCTTTATTAGCAATTCCCTCACACCCCATCGTGACAGCCTGTAATAAATATTTTTTTTTTACTATGAATAGTAATAATTGAATTGATCCACTGTGAAGCGATATACAGTATGCGTAAGTTTAAGTGCTATTGCTATTGCTATTATTTAGGCCAATTTGGCCCTCAAACTGAATCTTATCAGATGTGATGTCAGCGTCTGGTTATGGTAAGGGCTCACCCAAAACAACCTGGAAGAAGTGAACAGATGTTTGTACATTCTTATTTCTGGGGGGGGGAAAAATCAAAACTATTCTTATCCTTTAGGAAAAAAGAATCGACTATACCCTTCATATTAAGAAAATTGGATATCATTAGGACAGTGATGAAATCCATTTTTTTTTCCCCTACCGGTTCTGTGGGCGTAGCTTGGTGGGCGTGGCAAGGGAAGGATACTGCAAAATCTCCATTCCCACCCCACTCTGGGGCCAGCCAGAGGTGATATTTGCCGGTTATCCAAACTGCTCAAAATTTCTGCTACTGGTTCTCCAGAACCTGTCAGAACCTGCTGGATTTCACCCCTGCATTAGGACTATAATCCTAGTTAACAGTGGGAGGCAATAAACCCCAAAAGAACAATCAAAACATATTAATTATTGTGTCCTCCATGCAGGATCCCATTATAGGGTACAGGAAATGCCTACCTTAGCACAAACAATGAAGCTAAAGTTTATTTATTTGAGGCACATAATGAAGATGCAAGTGTCTTTGAAGAAGACCCAATGCTTGGAAAATGTCCCGAGATCATTTTGTGACGAGCCCTTTTGTGACTTTCTGACAAGCAAAGTCAAGGGGGGAAGCCAGATTCACTTAACAACTGTGTCACTAAGTTAACAACTGCAGTGATTCATGTAACAACTGTGGCAAGAAAGGTCATAAAATGGGGCAAAATTCACTCAACAACTGTCTCACTTAGCAACAAAATTTTGGGGCTCAATTAAGGGCATAAGTTGACTACTTGTAAGGTATATTTAATTTTTTTTAATTCCCACGTTTTTTATTTTATATTATTTATACATATCAATGCATGAATAGTGTGATACCTGAGTATCATACATTTTGATACAAACAGACATAATATTATTACTCATAGTTATTACATTTCATTTTCATTGTTTCATATTGTTTCTTATTATTACATATATCTTGTTATATTAATATATCCATACTATTATTCCCCTCTTATTTCTATCTCTATTTTAACTTTTTTTCCATGTTACCATAATATTCAAAGATGTTTCTTTTCTATCTTCCATTTTTCACCTGCTTTGTTATTCATATTTCCCTTATTTAGCTCTTCACATCTATTTATATTAAAGTTTCATCCTTGTAAAGTTTATTTAATGTTAGCCTTGGGTAAGTACAGAATCTGGGAAACTATGAGAGGAATTTGCACCCTCAGTTGTAGTGCATAAATTCAGGCCCAGTCTCTTTGAAGGGGTTGCAATGCTCACTCCCCCTATTTCTTGCCACCTGGACTAAGTTATTATTTACAAGATAAAGCTGCCAACTAAATTGCCTTCTCTTTGATTGTTTAGGTCTACTTTTCAACCTTTTTCTTTTCCAGCCTCCCCACAATCTCTCACACCCATCTGCCCAAGAATTATCCACTCTGGACCTACTGCCTTATTTCTCTGCTATTTTCTAGTTATTTAATTGAGCAGCTAAAACAATGTTTTTCAAACTTGGTAACTTTAAGATATGTGGATGACAACTCCCAGAATTCCCCAGCCTTAAGTTTGAATAACACTAAGTTAAAAGATGATAGGGAGAACTGTTTTTTTCTGCTGATTAACTGAGTAAGGTTTGCAGGAGATTTCAATCATCCTTTGCCAGTTGTATTGCTCAGATGAACAGCAGAAACAACTGAAAGGTAAATGGCACATGGCCCTGGATTTTCCTTTCTCTCTACTTCCCTTTCCCGGTGACCTTGTCTCTTGAGACTCTAAGGTTGGGTTCAAACATCATGCTGCCCAGTCTCACTCTTTGTAAAGCATAATATATAAGGTTACTGTATTGTTTGGACCCAGAAATCGTGTTTCATTCTAAAAAGTATGGCTAAACAAACCATGATTTTGCAGTTGCACCATATTTAAACTATGTGTGTCTACTTCTGAATGGAATGGAATAGAATAACTTTATTTGGCCAAGTGTGATTAGAGATCCAAGGAATTTGTCTCCAGTGCAGAAGCTCTCAGTATATATGGTAAAACAACAGAATAATCATAAGAAAGATACCAATAAGGGATAGAATATGATGCGGGAATGATTCAAATTCAGCCCCATACTTAGAATCTTATTTTAAGTTGTTTTACTAATAGTTTAATACAGAAAGGTTTGGCATTCTGAGCCTTCCAAGAATAAGGAAGAAAGGGGTTCGTCCTTTCTATTCTTCAAAGGACACTCCTGCATTCATCCATGGACTTTCTAAATTAAGAATCTATTTTACAGAGAATACAGAGAAAATCTCAAATTGGATTTAATTCCTGTTTTCTACATAGATATAGTTGCAATATATGGCTGTGAAAGTTGGATGATAAGAAAGGCTGAGAGCCAAAGAATCGAGGCCTTTGAACTATGGTGCTGGAGAAGAGTCCTGCGAGTCCTTTGGACTACAAGGCGATCAAACCGGTCAGTCCTAGAGGAGATCAACCCTGACTGCTCTTTAGAAGGCCAGATCCTGAAGATGAAACTCAAATACTTTGGCCACCTAATGAGAAGGAAGGACTCACTGGAGAAGAGCTGAATGCTGGGAACGATTGAGGGCAAAAGAAGAAAGGGACGGCAGAGAATGAAGTGGCTGGATAGAGTCATTGAAGCAGCAGGTATGAGCTTAAATGGACTCCAGAGGATGGTAGAGGACAGGAAGGCCTGGAGGAATGTTGTCTATGGGGTTGTGATGGGTCAGACACGACTTAGCAACTAACAACAAGGACTTTTTTTTACTGATTGTGCCACATAGATAAATTTTCTCCATGTGCTTTAATATAATAGAACATTTACACGCACACGTGCACATACACACATACCACATTTTTATCCAAATAGCCAACAATAAGAATAAAGTGATAAAGGCAATGATAGTTTACACTCTTTCTTCCAGCTTGCACTGAAACTTTCATTATACAGTGGTTTCCTCCTTCTGTTAGGCAGCACACATTTACCTTTCTCTAAAATGCTAGACATGATTTCTCTTCTACATAAAGCACAATTGCTTTTGGCATGAACAACAGGTTCCAGTTTACAGCCAACGAATTGTAGGAGCCAAGAATTCTCATCAAACTACAGCTCCCAACATTCTTTGGAAGAGACCTTGGCAATTAAATGATTGCAAAGGCAAACCTACTAGACATCATCTCCTGTAATTCTCAGGCAAGGTCTTTGGCCATGCAGGCTGGGAATTGTGGAATTCCATAAGGGTTTACCTGGGAAAAGTGCAGAGCATCTCATCAGGATCTCCCACAGTACCAGTGCCAGGGAATAGACATCCGCTTGCCTCAGTGCAGAGCCCACATCCTGCAGATTCAGGTTCTCATCCAAAATTTCAGGAGCTACGTAGCGTTGAGCTCCTGCCTAGAGAAAATACCAATGAAAGATGCAGGCAGCTTATGTATGATGCCTATTTGGAGCAAGAACTGGTTGTGCCCAAATTTTATATACAGTAGGTATTTAAACAGTACAATATGAGAAAGAGCCATGGTTAGAATGCAGTATTGCAGGCTAATTCTGCCAATTGTCAACAGTTCAATCCTGACTGGCTCAAGGTTGACTCAGCTTTTCATCCTTCAAGGTCGGTAAAATGAGGATCCAGATTATTGGGGGCAATATGCTGACTCTGTAAACCGTTTAGAGAGGGCTGAAAAGCACCGTGAAACGGTATGTAAGTGTAACGTGCTATTGATAAGTGCTATATGGAACTACCAGGATGCTGTCAGATCTCAAACACAATGCTGGAATCCAACATACTGATTCTGCATCTCTACTGGAATAAATATTATAGGGTAATCTCTTGGTGTTACTATTGTCTGAACTGTGCCGTGATGATTGTTCTCATTTTATGAGTTTTAATATTAGATGTCTGGGGCTTGAAGTTCAATGTAAATAAACGAATTTTAAAAGAACTATTGATCACATTTCAACAATATGCATCTCTTTGGAACTTTCTATGTTAACTATGGTACCTTGTGCACGATGGCTTCTGCAGGATCTTTTCTTGAATGCTCGTGTCGCAGAGGGAGGGTCATAGCGAAGCCAAAATCAGTTATGACGCAAGTCCTGTCTTCCCGCACCAGCACATTCTGGCTACTGAGGTCACGATGGGCCACCCCAGGTTTATGCAGGCCTGGCATCATGGGAAAAAACCAAGTTTCAACAAAGTTGTCATCTTAACCACATATGACCTTATTAAACCATGAACAGGACAGTGAGAGTGGACAAAGGAAGACTGGATTCACACATCACACCATTGTTTGTTTAAACATGTCTTGTTGAATCATGAGAAGAAACTGCATGGTAAGGAAAGTTTGGTTAAAATCCATAATGCCTAGTATCACTTAGTAATAACTCAAACCAGATTATGACATTGTGTAATATGTCAGGTGAACTAAGCTAAAAGGAGCCTTAGTTAATAGATATTTTCCATTCATAAAGTTTAAGCCCAGATATTTCCAGTTAAAAGACATCAGGCAGAATAGTTTCTTTCTGCTTCGAACCCTAGAAAGCTGCTGGCAGTCAAATAACAGCCAGCGTGGCAAGTCTTTGGCACTATAAATATCACTGAATCTCAGTTCTCATTAACTCTGATTGCTTGCTCTGGTTGTATAGAACATCTGCATGATACCAAAGTAGTAAATTTTGACTAGGCTCAATAAAAAGTACAAAAGAGATATTTTGCTGTCTAATCATGGTACCACATCTCAGTCACTGAAACTGATGTGGCAGGCACCTTCACAACTGACATTAACATTAGCCCTGGCATTATTTTATTTTAAATATTGATAGACTACCGTTTGTGTTATTTATGAAAGTGGCCACTTCAAAATGCAACGATGGTCACTAAAGAAAGTCAGAAAGGATCTCTGGATGCAATGCCAAAATGGGATTCATTCATGTCTGGCTGTAGAGCAGCTCAATTAAAAAAAAAAAACCATCGAGAACCAAATAGACTTGACTGTGGCTTTCACCCCGACTTCTGAATCACATCTCTTGGATAACTGTTAGATTCCTCCCCTTATCCAAGAAGAAAACACATTTTCTCGTTTAAACTTTTCCCAGGTTAATTTCAAAGTAGAGGAGGCTCTATGTAGAGTACCATATATCATGGTTAAAATGCAGGTAATTATTCAGAGAAACACCTATGACAAAGCCTCTCCCTCTCTTACAGTTCATGTAGTCCTCAAATTACAATAATTCATTTAGTGATGGTTCGAAGTTACAACGGCACTGAAAAAAGTGACTTATGACCGTTTTTCACACTTATGACTGTTGGGGATGGTCACATGGTCAAAATGTAGATGCTTGGCAACTGACTCACATTTATGATGATTGCAATGTCCCGGGATTATGTGATCACCTTTTGTAACCTTCTGACGAGCAAAGTCAAATGGGAAAACCAGATTCACTTAACAACCGTGTTCCTAATTAAACAACTGTAGTGATTCACTTAACAACTGTGGCAAGAAAGGTCGTAAAATGCAACAAAACTCACTTAATAACTGTCTCACTTAACAATATAAATTTTGGGCTCAATTGTTATCGTAAATCGAGGACTAACTACTTAAAAAATGCTAAAGTTTTGAAAGAGATTGGTTTTTTTTGTTTTTATTGTGAATAAAGGGGTACTGGAATATTCTTGCTTTGAATTCATATATCTACCTACATTTTTATGTAAAGAAATGTACACACACACTTAGGGAGTGTGATCAGGGAGAAGAAATTAAATTGGTAGTCCTTTTAAGATTAAAGCCAAACATTCAATTAATGTTCTATTTTTTGAGATTCAGAAATAAAGGAACAAAACAATCAAATGAAGGCAGCATCAGATTATCCTGAGTGCAAAAATTTGCATGGAGAAAACAAATACATCAGAGAGATTACCACCCTCCTTCCCTATGGTTTAACTGAGGCAGGAACATTTTAACATGCATTCTCCCAAAGTGATCCTAAAAAGGATTTACTATCTCCATTTTTTTCCTCTGATTCTAGTTAATCTCCCTCTCCTTGCAGGAGAAGTAACAATACATTTAGAAGGCTGACTTCTCTGCTAGCCTTAGAAGCAGATATATTTTACCCATATTCTCAGCATGATGTCTGCAGAGATATCAGAACTGTAGCATGTACTGAACATCACTATATATACAGCGCTCTGATTTTTAAAAAAGTAATCAAATCTGTATATACATGTTGTCCATAAATACAATAAAAATGCTAACATTTTTTTTTTTTAGTAGAATCTGAAGCCAGGTGCTAAATAATGTTTTGGGAGTGAGAGTGGGGGAACACAGTTCTTAGAATTAAGGAATAAAAATGTCTCAGGTGGTGGTGGGTTGCCCCCGGTTCGGACCGGTTCACAAGAACCGGTAGTAAAACCGGCGGGAGGCTCCGCCCACTGACCTGGACATCATTATAGGCAATCTGCGCATGCGCAGAAAAGCGTGTAGGCATGATGCGAACCGGTAGTAAAGGTAAACAGAACCCACCCCTGGTCTCAGCATATACTCCAGAGGTGGTATTCAGCAGGTTCTGACCAGTTCTGGAGAATCAGTAGTGGAAATTTTGAGAAATACCACCTCTGACTGGCCCCGCCCCATCTATTCTCTGCCTCCCGAGTCCCGGCTGATCGGGAGGAAATGGGGATTTTGCAGTAACCTTCCCCTGGAGTGGGGAGGGAATGGAGATTTTACAGTATCCTTCCCCTGCCACGCCCACCAAGCCACGCCCACAGAACTGATAGTAAAAATTTTTGAATCCCACCACTGATATGCTCAGTCTGGTGCTACTTTCCTATCTACCTTTTCTCTTGTATCTCACCAGCCAAATTTTAAAAGGAGGAGGTTTTCTAGGTATTACTCTCTGAGTAATGTTATCTAGTAATTTAGTCTATTAGAATTGGATACTCTTTATGATCAAGACAGATCCCCTGGATATCCATGCTGAATTCCAGTTTATTCTGGTAAAAAGCAAAAATTCTGATAAGAAATTTGATCCTTCTCCCGTGACACCCCCTCCCTGAGTGGTAGAGATATAATATAATATAAAAAAGAGCTCATCCCTGCAGTTGCTATTCCCATTTTCATTATAAAATCCTCAATCCAATATAACGTTTACATATTGAATTGAGGGGTTTGTAAATACAGATAGTGCTTGACTTACGACCGTAATTGAGCCCAAAATTTACATTGCTAAGTGAGGTAGTTGTTAAGTGAGTTTTGCCCCCTTTTACGACCTTTCTTGCCACGGTTGCTAAGTGAATTACTGTAGTTGTTAAGTTAGCAACGTGATTGTTAAATGAATCCAGTTTTCCTATTGGCTTTGCTTGTCAGACGGTCGTAAAATTTGATCACATAACCCTGGGACACTGCAGTCGTCATAAATATGAGTCAGTTGCCAAGCATCTGAATTTTGATCACGTGACCATGGGGATGCGCAACAGTTGTAAGTGTGAAAAACAGCCATAAATTACATTTTTCAATACCTTTGTAACTTCGAACAGTCACTAAATGAATTGTTGTAAATCGAAGACTACGTGTGGATGATACCCAGCCGGCTCCATCCTCTGATGCTGCCTCAGGAGTCACAAGTGGTCCATCAGGAAGTCTCCAGGACAAAAATCATCCTATGGCTTCCTGCTGAATATTCTGGCTGCCTACCTTCCTTCCGTTTCTCCTCATGTAAGAAAGCAAGGCCACTGGCAAGGGATGATCCGAGCTGGATGCTGATATCCCAGGAACAAATGTGATGGCTGAGGAAGTTCCGTAGGGATCCCTTTGAAGAAAATGCAACTGATTCAGTTTAGGTCCAAACCAGAGATGGTATTCAGCAGGTTCTGACCAGTTCTGGAGAACCGGTAATGGAAATTTTGAGTAGTTTGGAGAACCGGTAAATACCACCTCTGGCTAGCCCCGCCCCCATCTATTCTTTGCCTCCCGAGTCCCAGCTGATTGGGAGGAAATGGGGATTTTGCAGTAACCTTCCCCTGGATTAGGGCGGGAATGGAGATTTTACAGTATCCTTCCCCTGCCACGCCCACTAAGCCACGCTCACAGAACTGGTAGTAAAATAATTTGAATCCCACCACTCGCCCAAACACAAGATGGTTGACATCAGCATTCAACTTCTCATGATTATGGTGAAGGATGTGTCCGGATTAAGCAAACTGACAGAATAATTTTGGATAATAGACTCCTCCGATGCTCAGCTATAGCTTTTTTCCTTCGTTTTTTTATTGTAGTGTTATAAATCTTGATAGGTTGTATTATTTCACAGCAGACTTCAGTGCAGCAATATTTATATACTATGATTAAAATGTATAAATCTACAAGTAGTCCTTGACTTACGACAGCATTGAGCGATAATTCAAAATCACAATAGCACTGAAAAAAGTGTCTTATGGCCGTTTTTCACACTTATGACCATTGCAAGTTCCTCATGGTCATGTGATCAAAATTTGGATGCTTGGCAACTGGCTCGTATTTATGACGGTTGCAGTGTCCCAGGGTCATGTGATCACCTTTTGTGACCTTCTGACAAACAAAGATAGTAGAGGAGCCAGATTCACTTAACAACAGTGTTACTGACTGAACAACTGCAGTTATTCACTTAACAGTTGTGTCAAGGAAAGTCATAAAAAAATGCTTCGCTTAGCAACTGAAATGTTGGGCTCTACTGTGGTCGTAAGTTGAGGACTACCTGTACTATTATCTAGAAAGCTTAAAAGTATTAAGGATAAAAAGAGAAAAATAAAAATTCTATCAGTATTAATTGCAATTGAGAATATCAATATTATAGACATAGGTTTATGTGGCTCTTCATCCAAAGTTAAGTATTGGTTAAGTATAGGATTATTTATTTATATTCAAATTAAGGCTTTGAAGAATGGGAATGGAAGAGAAGTTACTGGATCAGGGGTCAGCAATCTGCGGCTCTGGAGCCGCATGTGGCTCTTTCACCCCTCTGCTGCGGCTTGCTGTCAATCAAAATATGCGTCAAAACCGCCAATGTGCGACACCCACCGGCACGCGATTTATTGAGCTTTTCAACCTCCAGTACCATGGATAAATCCAAGAAAAGAAAAGTTTCAGAAGAAAACAGAACGTTTAATTCAATTACATATGCTAGTTTTGTGGCCGCTCAAGAAATAGTCAGGCATGGGAAGGGTTTTGTGGCTCCCAGTGTTTTCTTTTCTGTGGGAAACGGGTCCAAATGGCTCTTTGAGTGTTTAAGGTTGCAGACCCCTGTATTGGATTGTAGGGAGAGGAACTGCAAACCATGACCATCTGTTTCTGACTGGGCAATGAAAGGATGGCTCAAATTCTCATATCTTATTTGCTTATTAAATGTGTTATTGTAATACAAGTAGTCCTCAATTTACAACAGTTCATTTAGTGACCATTCAAAGTTACAATGGCACTGAAAAAAGGGACTTCTAATCATTTTTCACACTTATGACGGTGGCATCATCCTCATGGTCACGTGATTTACATTTGGATGCTTGACAACTAGTTCGTAGTTATGACGGTTGCAGTGTTCCAGGGTCATGTGATCGTTTTTTGCGACCTTCTGACAAGCAAAGTCAATAGGGAAGCCAGATTCACTTTAAAAACCCAAGTTACTAATTTAACAACTGCAGTGATTCGCTTCACAAATGTGGCAAGGAAAGTCGTAAAATGGGGCAAAAGAACTCACCAAATTTATCAATTAGCAGCATAAATTCTGGACTCAATTGTGGTCGCACGTCGAGGACTACTTGGATTATACTGCTGCCTATTGAAGTTAGTTTAGCAATTAACAATTCCTTTTCATCCCCATCACCCCACTCTACTATATGACATTTTAATTTAGAAATAGAGCTGAAAACAAATCCTTCAGCAAAACCTTAAAATGTACTCTTTATCAAAACAAACAAACAAACCAGCTTGCAATCTGAGAATCTAGAAAAGTTGAATTTACTCCTAGAAATTCCACCTCTATAATATCCATGGCAAAAAAAATAAAAATTAAACATCTATTCCTCATGGCGATGTGATTATAATGACATTAATACCTATGTACCTTGGTACACACTGGTGAAAGTTTATTGTGAATCGTTTTTATTTATTTACCATATATCCCGCCTTTATTATTTTTACAAATTATTCAAGGCAGTGAACATATCCAACACACACCCCTATTTTCCCCACAACAACAATCCTGGGAAGTGAGTTGAATTGAGAAAGAGCGACTGGTCCAAAATCACCTAGCTGGCTTTCAGGGCTAAGGCGGGACTAGAACTCCCAGTCTACCTAACCTGGTGCCTTATCCCAGGGGTGAAATGCTCCCGGTTTGGACCGGCTCGCCCGATCCGGTAGTGATGGAGGCGGGTGGTTCGAAGAACCGGTAGCAAAAATCCCTGCCCCCCCCCCATGCCCAGCTGAGCCACACAATCATCAGAGGCTTTTTTTTTACTTTTAAAAGCATTTTTTCTACACCCTCTTCAGCAGAAAAAATGCTTTTAAAAGTAAAAAAAAAGGCTCTGATGATCGCGCGGCTCAGCTGGGATCATCAAAGGCTTTTAAAAGAAAAAAAGCCCTTTTTTCTTTTAAATGCCTCTGGCGATCCAAGCTGAGTTTTTTAAAAAGCCTCTGCCGATCAGGCAACTCAGCTTGGATCATCACAGGCATTTAAAAGAAAAAAAGGTTTTTTCTTTTAAATGCCTCTGACGATCCAAGCTGAGTTGCCTGATCGGCAGAGGCTTTTTAAAAAACTCAGCTTGGATTGTCAGAGGCATTTAAAAGAAAAATAGGGTTTTTTTCTTTTAAATGCCTCTGACGATCCAAGCTGAGTTGCCTGATCAGCAGAGGCTTTTTAAAAAAGAAAAATAGGGTTTTTTTTCTTTTAAATGCCTCTGACAATCCAAGTGAGTTTTTTAAAAAGCCTCTGCCGATCAGGCAACTCAGCTTGGATCGTCAGAGGCATTTAAAAGAAAAAAACCTTTTTTTCTTTTAAATGCTTCTGACGATCCAAGCTGAGTTTTTAAAAAAGCCGCTGCCGATCAGGCAAGGGATCGTCAGAGCCTTTTGAAAGCATTTTTTTATAACTCTTTGCCGAAGAGGTTGTAGAAAAAATGGTTTTAAAAGTAAAAAAAAAAAAAAAAAGGCCATGCCTACCCAGTCACATTACCCCACTACCACCAAGCCACACCCACAGAACTGGTAGTAACAAATTTTAGATTTCACCACTGCCTTATCCAAACTAGCCCCCTGCACCTAGACACATACAAGATCACTTTTATTTTTTAACACCTAATTCCAATCACTTTCACCCATTCTTGCCCATGGCTCTTACCAATGGGTACAGTGTCAGTACCAGGAGACCACAAGGTTCTTCACTTGGTCCCCCATATCCAGCAGTCACAAGTCGTGCCACGTTTTCGTGGTTCATCAATGGGAGGCTGTACACGGCCCACTCAGATGCAAATTGTTGGTGGCACAAAGGAGGAAAGGCCTTGATGGCTACAGGTTGCTGGCTGAAGGTTCCTTGCCACAGTTTAGAAAGCTGCCCTTCGTGGAGAAGCTGTTCCGAAAAGGATTAGGGAAAAGGATTAGTTAAAATTCCTATCAATGCTTTAGGTAGGAGATTGTTGTTTTTCAACCGTACCAAGAAATTAAAAACTCTTTCCACACTGATCTTATTTTCTGTCCCTTATGATGTTCCTTCTGCTGGTTGGGGAATTCTGGGAGTTGAAATTCACAGCTTTTAAAGTTGCCAAGCTTGGAAACACCTATTATAGATAAAGCTAGCTTCCAGCTGATACAGGTAGTCCTTGACTTACAACAGTTCATTTAGTGGCTGCTCGAAGTTGCAACAGCACTGAAAAAAGTGACTTATGTCCATTTTTCACATTTACAACCGTTGCAGCCTCAATGCAATGACGTCATCAAAATTCAGATGCTTGGCAACTGACTCACATGAATGATGGTTGCATTGTTCCGGGGTCATGTGATCCCCTTTTGCAATCTTATGACAAGCAAAGTCAATGAGGAAGCCAGATTCATTTCACAAGCGTGTTACTAATTTAACAACTGCAGTAATTCACTTAATAACTATAAAAAAGATTGTAAAATAGGACAAAAGTCACTTAACAACTCTCACTTAGCAACATAAATGTTGGGCTCAATTGTGGTCATAAATCAAGGACTACCTGTACTGGCAAGGACCTCACTCTAGTCCCGTGTTGGCAAACATGGAACATGTGCCAGAAGTGGCATGCAGAACTATCCCGCAAGGAATGCGGGGCCTTGCTGGCTCCTCTTCCGCGTTCCTGTGCACACACGCGTGCCAGTCAGCTGGCCGTCGCACGTGCAGGAGCCGCAAAACTGGAAGAGGAGCGTTCCATCGCGTATGCGCAGGCCGGCACCCTAACTTCCGAAATTACGTTGCATGCATGCGCGATGGCCAGTTGTTCATCAGGCGCATGTGCGTGCCAGAAACCAGAAGTTCGGGTGCCGGCTTGCGCATGCGCGATGGAACGCCGCTCTTCTGGGTATCGGCGCTCCTACATGCACGAAGGCCAGCGGGGACGCACATTCCTCACAGGATGGTTTCGCGTACCATTTCCAGTACGCAGGACGGCACGCGGTGACGTAAAAGGTTAGCCATCACTGCTCTAGTCAGTAGCACATGTTTTTAGAGCTTTATATTTTGGTCCCTGATTACTTCTTTAGGATCATCAAGTTGCCAAACTGAAGAACCTCCTTTATTTGGAATTGCATGTGAAGGAAACCTCTGGCCACCCCAATAACTGCTATCTTGGCATTGCCATTAAGATTGACAGGGGTGGGGGGGAAGCAAATTATGGTAGGACTACCACATCTGGCCTGCAGAGTTCCAGGTGACTTCTAGATGACAGCGGAGAGATACAGAAATTCCAATGCTTGCCATATAGGGGTCATCTGGTTTTTTTGCAGTGGATTTGGTAGACCTAGTGATGGTGACTCCTGGTGGTTTGGCTCCTCCCCAGACTGAATCATACCTGAATGAATTGGAGATCTGGAACTTCTAGCCTGGGCAGTTTTTTCTCATCCTTTAGTTCTGAGCCTGTCGTTACCTTGTTGAGTTCTCCAGTTTCTTTTGGTCTTAGTAGCACTGCATGAATTTTCCGATGCCTTAGAACTAAAAAGTCACATAAAGACATTTCCTCCTCAATGACATACTCTGTATTTTTTTCCCAATGTTATATACTCCCTAAACTAGGCAAATAGTAATCTATTTGAGAAAAAAAAAATATTTTGCTATTCAAGGGAAAAGTAAAAGTACAGGGCAGAGAAGCTGTACCATGAGCATATAAGAAACTCCCTTATATTTCAGCTAGAAAAACCCATTGAACAACTCAACAGTTTGCTAGTCATTCAGATTTTTGCGGCCCAGTTTTTAATAGGCCTCTTTTATATTGAATCGAATCACTGATCCATTTACCTCAGTGGTGTCAGCACTGATTGGCAAAAGTTTCCCAACATTTTCATCAGATTTTTTTCAACTCTACTTGAAAAACTTGCTGAAAGTTGAATCAGGGACCTTCTGCATGCCCAACAGCAGCTCCGTGACTAAATGCAATTTTACACTATACAGGTAGTCCTCGACTTATAACATTTCATTTAACGACTGCTCAAAGTTACATTGTCACTGAAAAAGTGACTTATGACCATTTTTCCAAGTTATGACCTTTGCAACATCCCCAGGATCACCTGACCAAAATTCGGATGCTTGGCAACCAGTTCATATTTATGACGGTGTTCAGTGTCCTGGTGTCCTGTGATCAGGCTTTGTAATCTTCGGACAAGCAAAGTCAGTGGGGAATCCAGATTCATTTAACAATTTATTTATTTATTTATTTATTTCGATTTTTATACTGCCCTTCTCCTGCTGGACTCAGGGTGGTGCACAGCCAAAAATAAAAACAGCGCATACAAAATTTAAAATTTTAAAAGAATTAAACTAGTATTGGCCCAATAAAATTTAAAATATCCCAACTAAAACCCATTTAGCAATTAAAAATATCTGGGGGGGGGGTCAAGCCAACCCAGCTTGATAAAATAAAAAAGTTTTAAGGGCACGGCGAAAAGCACAGAGATCTGGGATCCTACGTATCTCCGGGGGCAGGTCGTTCCAAAGGACCGGTGCTGCCACAGAGAAGGCCCTCCCCCTGGGGGTCGCCAGCCGACATTGTCTGGCCGACGGCACCCTGAGGAGTTCCTCTCTGTGGGAGCGTACTGGCCGGTGGGAGGCTACCGGTGGTAGAAGGCGGTCCCGTAAGTACCTAGGCCCTAAGCCATGGAGTGCTTTAAAGGTGGTAACCAACACCTTGAAGCGCACCCGGAAGATCACCGGAAGCCAATGAAGCTCACGCAGGAGAGGTGTCACATGGGAGCGCCCCATCGCTCCCATAATCCCCCACGCGGCCGCATTCTGCACCAGTTGGAGCCTCCGGGTGCTCCTCAAGGGGAGCCCTATGTAGAGACCTACTAACAAACATGTTAGTAACTTAACAAATGCACTGATTCACTTAGCAACTGTGGCATGAAAAGTCGTAAAAAATAGGGCAAAACTCACTTAACAAATGCTTCATTTAGCAACATAAATTTTGGCCTCAATTGTGATCATAACTCAAGGACTATCTGTATGCACAAAACTATGGCTCCCATGTTCTGCTTTAAAAAGTACATTTTCTTGCAAACAATCATGGGTATATTCATAATGTGGATTATAATTATGAGGTCCTGGTATAGGACAGCCTGAAAACAAGGTTGTAGTTATGTGGATGTATCTTGGATATCAGATTCTGATGGATCCTTGAGCAATATTCCCTGTGTTGGCTACTGTTCTTTTTCTTTCTTTTTTTTGAAATATTTTTATTCTACATTTTTAACCTTTAAAGTCACAATTACACTATTACAGCTTTCTATTATCGGAATTTTTTCTTAATTTCAACTTATCCACAGGCCTATTGTTTTATAATGTATACATTCTTATTTCATAGTTACTTATTTGTATGATATATACAATATTTACATGTCTACTACACTCTAAAGCAGTGGTCCCCAACCTTTTTATCGCCACGGCCCGCTGAGCACGCGCAGGGGTGGGGGCACGGCCCAGGAGCTTTTGCGCACGGCCCATTGCGCACGGCCCAGGAGCCTTTGCGCTGCAGCGTTCATGTCCCCCGGCCGCTGTGCGGCCCGGTGCCAGGTACTCCACGGCCCGGCACCGGTCCGCAGACCGGGGGTTGGGGACCACTGCTCTAAAGTATACATTTTTTCCAATTATTATCTTTCCTGTACATTCACTATACATTAATTTTAGACTTCTTTTCAAGCCAATTATACCACCTGTTCCAACTCTCATAATGTACTGTTTCCTCTCTGTCCCTTAATTCCATCATTTAATTTGTCCATTTCTGCGTATTCTAGCACCTTTTTTATAATCATTGCGTTTGATGGAATGTTTTCTTGCTTCCAGTTTTGGGCGAATGTGATTCTGGCTGCGGTGATTACATATGGAACATGATGTATTGAATTTCTGTGCTTATATTACCTTTTATTATACCCAAAAGGAATAACTCTGGCTTCATATCAATTTTTTGTTCAATAATTTCCTCCTTTGGCTACCTTCCTTAGCACTGCCACCTTGTTCATTTGCCTTCTTCTTTCCTTTAGAGCAGGGCTGTCAAATGCAAAACCTGCGGGCTGCATCTGGCCCTCAGAGTGCTTAGATCTGGCCCGTGGGGCTGCTCTGGAAACAGCAAAGGACCAGCCCACGGTGCCTCTGCCAGTGAAAACGGAGCTCAGGAGGGCCATGTGCGCCAGAGGAGGGTTCAAAATTTTTTTACTACCGGTTCTGTGGGCGTGGCTTATTTTGTGGGCCTGGCTTGATGGTCATGTGACAATTCTTTAGGATTTAGCAGAGGTACTGGTCTATCAGGCTTTTAACTGCTTACAGAGCCGTGCCAGTTTACCAATATGTTCTTAGAGCATACCAGTCTACCCATTTGTTTTTGGAGTGTTCCGGTCTACCCATTTGTTTTTGGAGCGCACTGGTCTACCATCACACTGCCTTTTACTGCTGATCAGCTGTAGGGCGGCCCTTTGACGTGACGTGGCAAGAGTTTAAACAGTTTTTTGCCACTCTGCCATCACCGAGAGCAGTGGTGGGATTCAGCCAGTTCGCACCACTTTGGGAGAACCGGTTGTTAACTTTCTGAGCAGTTTGGTGAACTGGTTGTTGGAAGAAATTATTAGGGCAGAGAACCGGTTGTTAAATTACTTGAATCCTACCACTGACCGAGAGCATTGGAAACTGCTTTCAGGCAGCTTGGCCTCAGTTGCCAATCTACCATCACCGAGCAGTTTACGAGGAGTGGATTGGTTCTAGCCGATCAGTTGGGAGGCTTCTTGGCTTCTCAATTTAAAGCTAAGATGTCTTGGTTTTTTTTCCTCTTCTTTGTCAAGTGAGCCCTGATTTTTTCCTTCTAGCCGATCAGCTGGAACTCGGGAGGCAGCGAATAGATTGGGGGTGGGGCCAGGCAGAGGTGGTATTTACCGGTTCTCCGAACTACTCAAAATTTCCACTACCGGTTCGCAAGAACTGGGAAGAACCAATAGCAACCCACCACTGATGTGCTTCCTTCCAAGCTCTGTTTTTGCAGGCAGAGGGTTGCAGGGAGCCGTCACAGCCAGAAACAGAGCTTGGGAGCCTGTTTTCAGTGATAGATCACTTGGGCCACCACGGGTGCCCCTGACACAAGTGATATCGACCTGGCCACACTTACCCTGTCCATGCCCACCCCGGCCCCCTGAAGTCAAACACACAACCCTGATGAATTGAGTTTGACACCCGTGCTTTAGAGCCACCATACTTCACCACTACCAAAAAAGCAAGGGCAAAGCCAGTGGAATCTCTTGTCTGAATCTTATACAGGTAATCCTCAATTTACAACAGTTCATTTAGTGACTGTTTGAAGTTACATCATCAGTGAAAAAAGTGACTTACAGTCAGTTTTAAAAGTTTTTCACACTTACAACCGTCGTATCATCCCCGTGGTCGTATGATCAAAATCCAAATGCTTGGCAACTGAATCAATATTCATGATAGTTGCATCCTGGGATGATGTGATCCCCTTTTCCGACCTTCTGACAAGCAAAGTCAATGGGGAAGCCAGATTCACTTAACAACCAGGTTACTAACTTAACAGCTGCAGTGATTCACTTAATGATGGTGGCAAGAAATGTCGTAAAACGGGGCAAAATTCATTGAACAACTCTCTCACTTAGCAGCATAAAATTCGGGCTCAACTGTGGTCATAAGGCGAAGACTACCTGTAACAGTGATGACCAGTGGCCAGGAGGAGAGGAGAGGCACTCAGTGGTGGGTTTTTTGGTTTTTCTAATGTGCCCCCAAATTTCACTCTGTGAGTCTGCTCAGTATTTATATCTTTTCCATATAATCAGGGGTGGGCTGTTGGGGGTTCGCAGGGGTTCGGAACAGGGGTGGGTTCTACTTACCTTTACTACCGGTTCGCAACGGGATCGCACACACACGCTTACTTCGCTCACACGCGCGCCTTGCTTCTGCGCATATGCAGATCGCGTCTAATGACGTCAGGGTCAGTGGGCTGAGCCTTCCGCCAGTTTTACTACCGGTTCTATAGAACCGGTCCGAACCGGGGGCAACCCACCACTGGTTCGGAAGAACCTCTAGCTAAGATTCTGTGCAGTTCGGAGAACCCCCAAATCCCACTCCTGGCTGGCCCCGCCTACCCCTTCCTGCCCCTCCCAGGAGTCCCCATGCAGCCTGTTTTGGATGCAGGTAAGTGCAGGGCACGCGAAGAGGCTCGGGTAAGGCGAAAAAACGGGCCTACTGGAAGTTCGAGAAGGCCGGAAACGGGCCCATTTCCGGCCTCCAGAGAGCCTCCAGAGAGCCTCCAGAGCCTGGGGAGGCTGTTTTTGCCCTCCTGGAGGCTCAAGAAAAGCCTCCGGAGCCCAGGGAAGGCAAAATGCCTCCCCCCACCCCACCCCCCTGTGGTGCAGGAGACCAACTAGGCCACGCCCACCATGGTCACGCCCACCCAGCAACCGGGCAGTGAATCCCTTGCTAAAATTTTTGAAGCCCACCCCTGCATATAATGGAAATACATCATCTAAACATGCTGCTACCATATTTTTCAGGAGTGTCTCAGAGAGTAGGGGAGCTTTTCTTCACTTTCCCTATCTCAAATTCAGCCAACTTTTGTGCAGCCAACTCTTTTTTAAAAATACTTTCCTTGAAATTGCCATACCTGGAAATGCCGAGAAACATAGGAGGATCACTAGGCAGGTTACTGTGATCCAGGCAATCTTGGCGGGACTAGGCAAGGACTCGGCTGCAGGGATAAAACAAGAGAGCACAGATGTCATATTATCATGGGAGAAAAGGGAGGAGAGCATTTCAAGTTTCCGAGAAGGCAGAGCAATCTCTTTCAACCCATTTGCCATATTTAATAGCTATATATATTGCTAAGCCTCTTGGCTCAAAGTCTCGGGCCCTCCTCCACATCTCCAGGTGCCTATGGGCCTCTGCATGTCCATCTCCAAGCTCTCTGCCCATCCTCGATATCGGCTTCTTGCCATCCTCTCCTGGCCCTTTCCTCTGAAGTTTTAATTAAAATTAAAGCAGGGGAAAGGACATTTCCCTCCCTCTAAGAAGCAGCCCATACCTTCTCATCTCTGCAGCCAACATTCCTATGTCCTCCCCATAGGTTTTGAAGGTTTGAAGGCCATAATATGGCATCACAACACTACAGAAGGCTGTGCGGATGGGAGTGTGTGTTTGTGTGTAAGCGTTGGAGAGATGATAAAACAGCAGTGTGGGGAGTATATTTTTGTAAAAAGGGAAATGGGAACTATAAGGACTTTTGATTACAGAATCTAGTTCTTTTTTTTCTTGAAATGTGCTCAGTCACCAAGAAAGTGAACGCGAATGACAGACAACGCTTACGTTACCCAGTGCTGAAGTGAGAGATTAATATTTCTTTTTCTTGTAGGATTTGATGTAAAGCCCTAAAGAAGGCTGGAATAAGGGGAAAGTCCCAGGTGGAACTCCATTTTAATCGTTGTTCTACTTAATACTTTTGGAATCCGGGGCTAATTTAAATATCAGAGTGGGGGAATGTCAAGGGTGGTTGGAGATTGGTATCAGCAGAAGACAAGCAGCTTCAAAAGCATGGAGGTTGATGGAGATTGTGGGGAGAGGGGATAAGAAGAAAAGAGTGAAAATGTTCCTCAAGAGGTGAGAAGGTCCCTTTCTTCCTTTGCTAGGCTCCCTCTATCTTTGGATCGGGTTCTGTGTCAAATTAAAAACAGCAAGAAATATTACCCCAAACAAAGGAAGGTTCTTTAATTCACAAGACAAGATAGAAAGGAGGGAGACAGGGGGATGTCATAGAATTTCTGATAAGTTGGCTTTGAGAAGTTACAGAATAGAATTCTTAGGTTGCCAGATCACGATAATCATCTTTTTAATATACAGACTTCCCAATCTCTTCTATGAAATTTAACCCCTTCAATGTCATCCCAAATGAAAAGCCTAAACATAATGGTATCCAATCAGATGTCCTCTAGAAGTGCAGGAATTCCTATTTCCAGAATTCCCAGTCAGCATAACTCACAGAGACCAGCAAATTGGAGAAAGCTGCATGAATGAATTTACTCCCGTTCATATTAACCCCTTGTCCCTCTTTCTTGCCTCAAAAAGTCCTACCATCCTATAAATAAGATTACATGGCCTATTCTTGTTCCAGATATCTTTAGTTTTGCAAATGAACAGTTTTGTTGGTAGGTCTTCTCTACCTCAAGAGAAGGTATCATCATTCCCTGTGTATCCTTCACAGAGGAAACAAATATCTAAACTTTCTAGCTTCACAATAGAAAAATGACCATTTCTCTCCATGCTCTATTTTTTTAAAAAAAAATATGTTATTAGTTTTAAAAGTAACACAATGGACATTGCTCAACGTCTCTGGTTTCTACCATTTGCGTCAAATTCAAGTTAATAAGTAATATATTCCTTAATCTATATACAAATTTACATATCTCCTATTTCATTATATATCAAGTATACAGTATTGTACTTCCTAAACAGCTATACAGGGGTGGGTCCTACTTACCTTTATTACCGGTTCGCAATGGGGCCGCGCGCACAGTAAGTATATGCAATATTAAATAGGTTACATTTTTGTCATATTTGCCATCTGTCATGCCCAGTAAGAAAAATTCCGGCTTGACTTCTATTTTGAACATTAACATCTCTTCTAACCAGCTCCTTATTTGCTGCCAAAAACTTTTTGCTTTTGAGCACTCCCACCACATATGGTAGTATGTATACTACCATATGTGGTGGGAGTGTCTCCATGCTCTATTATTTACTTCAGCAAACTGATTACTTTTAGCAAAGTGATTGGATTATTATCTGGGAACTTTGGAAAATTGCAGTTGGGCAAAAGCTTCGTCTGAAAAGCACTCTAAATTTGAATATTCCCAAGGGAATAATCTAGAGAAGGAACAAAGCAAGAGGTAAAACCAAGGATCCCATTAGGAATCTGATATGAAGCAAAGAAAAGTGCCTGCCTTTATGATGAAATTCAGGCGTTTAAAGTTGTATTTGTTGCCACAAGAGAGGAAGATAGATAGCTCTGCGGACAAGGCACTGTAATTTAACACCAGCTGTCTGCAATTAAAGTAAGTTCGAATCTTGCCAGGCTCAAGGTTGACTCAGCCTTCCATCCTTTCTAAGGTAGGTAAATTGAGGACCCAGTTGGTTGGAGCAATAAGCTGACTTTGTATACAATATACAAAAGTATGAAGGCTATTGCTTAACGCACTGTAAGCCACCCTGAGTCTCCGGAGAAGGGCGGCATATTAATCAAATTAAAAAAAAAAAAGATGATTTTTCTGCCTTGGCTGCTAAAATCATAGTTGGACTTTGCATTTTACAACAGTCCTCGATTTACAACAGTTCACTTAGTGACCATTCAAAGTTACAACGGCGCTGGAAAAAGTGACTTATGACTTTTTTTCATACTTAGCCATTGCAGTATCCCCATGGTCACGTGATCAAAATTCAAATGCTTGGCAACTGACTCATATTTACGACAGTTGCAGTGTTCCAGGGTCACGTGATTACCTTTTGCGATCTTCTGACAAGCAAAATCAATGGGGAAGCCAGATTCATTTAACAGCCATGTTACTAACTTAGCAACTGTAGTGATACACTTAACAACTGTGGCAAGAAAAGGTCGTTAAATGGCAAAATTCGCTTAACAACTGTCTTACTTAGCAACAGACATTTTGGGCTCAATTGTGGTCATAAGGTGAGGACTATCTGTATTTAGGAAAAATGAGAACACATACTGGTCAGCATATCTATGTGCTTTTAAACTAATTTAGTTAACCTATTTGTATCCTCCTTTTTAAACTTAAGACAGCATTAAAGCCGTCGCACTTTTGAAGTCAAAACTTGCTGTCATTTTTCACCCTTTACATTTTTAGCTGCAAGTTAAGAAATTAGAAATAACCTGCCTCTTATTATTGTATTTGTAAAGTGGACTACGGTGATTTATGGCCGCAGAAACTCAAAACGACAACCTTTGATCCTAGCTTGCCTACCAGTTAAATACCACTGTACTTCCAGAACTGGAAAACCAAGGAAATCAAACCCATACCAACCCTTCCATGTCAGCCAAACTGGAAGTCCCAAATTGGCTTAGCACATTTCTTTAAAGGGAAATTTTTGTTTGGGAGCAACAATTCTCCTTTTCACCTGAAGCCTCTCCTTAGAGCAGCTAGGCAGCTCCCTCTCTTTTGGTATGCAGTTATCAGCTTGACTCAATCTGGCTGGCTTGGGCTTTCTCTCGGCATCCTCAAGGTCTCTCCTGAGTTAAGTGCTCTTCTCAAACAAAGGCAGCTCCCTTCCCTCCCTTCCCACCACCTATCCAGCTCTGCATCTCTTGGTGAGCTTGCCTGGGAAGGAAAAAAAAATCAAAGACTCTCAAGATTTGCAGGGCAAGGAGAAGAATAGATAAAAACAGGAAGGAGAAGAAAGAACTGTGAAAGAGCATCTGAATAATATTAGGGGCGGAGATGGGGGGGTGAGTGGGCAGGAGGATTCTTCTATCCTGAATTTCCCTGCCACCTTAATTGTTCTGCTGTGACTTCCACTTGCGACCCATAAATCTTCCCCCATCCTTTCCCCCACCCCCACCCCGTCCCATTCAGCATTTCCTTCCTGACCTCTGACCTCCAGATTTCTTACCAGGTCTGTTTCCAGGCTTGGCGTAGCTGATGTTCGCATTACACAGATCAGAGCGGCACCTACAGGACAAGGTGATGGCAGCTGAAGAGCGAAACTCACAAGCTGGGGAATCACAGGCTTCTTTTTCACTTATCCAGCAACCTGAATGGAGATGGGGGTGGGGGAGGAGGAAGAGAGGGAAAGAAGTGAGGAGAGGAGAGAATCAGGGGTGAAATCCAGCAGGTTCTAACAGATTCTGGAGAACGGGTAGCGGAAATTTTGAGTAGTTCAGAGAACCGGCATATACCACCTCTGGTTGGCCCCAGAGTGGAGTGGGAATGGAGATTTTGCAATATCCTTCCCCCTGGAGTGGGGAGGGAATGGGGACTTTGCAGTATCCTTCCCCTGGAGTGGGGTGGGAATGGAGATTTTGCAGTATCCTTCCCATGCCACACCCACCAAGCCACGCCCACAGAACCGGTAGGGAAAAATTTTGAATTTTACCCCTGGAGGGGATTCAGGAGGACAAAGTTCATGAGAGCTTCTCTGCAAGGACTAAATCTTGTGTGTTGGAAAGGAAAACAGAACAGACCCAAAAGGGCTTTTCTTCAAGAGGCAACTAGACTTTCTTTGTTTTTCCTTGAAGCTTCTTCAGAACTTGGATGAGAAGCCAAACGTCTTCAAGGAAAAATAAAGAAAGTCCAGTTGCCTTTTGGGGGAAAAAAAGCATCTTTGGGATAACCATGATCTGGATGACTGAGAATTTCCGTAGACATTTAGAACAGAACAGAATAACAGAGTTGGAGGGGGCCTTCGAGGTCTTCTAGTCCAACCTCCTGCTCAAGCAGGAAACCCTATACCAGTGATGGCTAACCTTTTTGCCATTGTGTGCCAGGAGGGGAGGGCGGGGGAGGTTCGCACTCTCACGTGCCCACACCCATAATTCTATGCGCCCTGCCCCCGCACATGCGCACATGACCGCCCCCCCCCCTCCTGGCACGTGATGGCCCTGTAGGCCCTGTAGAGAGGCTCTGGAGGCTGGGGACAGCAAAAAAGTCACTTCCTGTCCAACCGGAAGTTGGGAAACGGGCCGTTTCTGGCCTCCGGAGGGCCTCCGAGGGGATGGGGAAGGCTGTTTTTGCCCTCCCTAGACTCATAGAGAGGATCTGGAGCCAGGTGAGAAAGAAAAACGGCCCTTCCTCACCCCCTCCAGGCCCTCCGGAAGCAGGAAACAGCCCTACTTCTGGTAGGCCCAGAAAGCCTGAAAATCAGCTGGCCGGCGCTCGCATACGCACCAGAGCTATTCTCGCATGCCCACTGATATGGCTACACGTGCCATAGGTTCACCATCACAGCTGTATACCATTTCAGACAAATGGTTGTCCAACCTCTTCTTAAAAACATACAGTGTTGGAGCACCCACTGGAGACAAGCCACTTTCCATTCCAAAGAATTTGTGGGATTTGACCTGCCTTTTAGCTGAATCCCGATTTTTTTCATTTATTCAGCCTCCTACATGGTTGAAATGTGTTGGTACAGTGTAACGGTATCCACATGCCCTCCACCAAATTGTATTATTCGGTAACTTTTCTATAGTCATTGCTGCTTTTTCTTTCATTCTTCACTGTAGTTGCAACAAGCCCTACGTTTCTAACATACTGTGTTTTTTGTGCCAAATTAAAGATACAGGAATTTAAATTTTTGTCACCAACATGCTCAGGGCCTCAAGATTGGAGATCTGTTCAAGTCTTAAATCTTGAATGAAATATGTACATTGGCACATATTTATTTAGGAAAGGGACTGAAGCAGAGAGGATGGGCTGTGGCCCATCTTTTGTTTTGTTGCAAAAACATACATAGAGGTACTCCTTGACTTACAACCATCCATTTAAATGACCATTCGAAGTTATAATGGCATTGAAAAAAAAATGACTTACAACTGGTCCTTGCACTTATGATTGTTGCAGCATCCTGCTTGCTTAAAATTCGGGGGATTGGCAACCAGCATCTATTTAAGGCAGTTGCAGCATTTCAGGGTCATGTGATCATCATTTGCATCTTTCCCAGCCAGCTTCCAACAAAGCAAAGTCAATGGAGGATGCCAGATTTGCTTAACGACTGTGTGAGTCACTTAAGAACTCCAGTGATTCGCTTAACAACCGTGGCAAAATAGGTTGTAAAATCAGGCCTGACTCACTTAAGAACTGCCTTGCTTAACAATGGAAATTCTGATCCCAGTTGTGGTTGTAAGTTGAGGACTACCTTTACCTACATACATTTGGGAGAGCCAGTTTGGTGTAGTGGTTAAGGCAGTGGCAGTGAACCTTTTACTCACCGAGTGCTGAACAGGTATGCGTATCGCGCGTGCACGTGCTATCTGCGCTAACACACGGCTTCTCCCCATGCGCTGTGCATGCAACCGTACCATCTGTGCATGCGCGCAGGTTTTATCTGGCTCCCCCGTGCGCTGCGCGTGCAATCACACCATCTGCGCATGTGCACAGTTTATCGCACACACAATGCATGCACACGAACGCCATCTACACATGCGCGCTGCACACAAGTACTCTTACGGGCATGCACAAACGAGCGCGCATGCACAGGAAAGCTCTGAAGACCACCTGGATCCCCTGAATTGCGCGCATGTGCACCAGAGGGCCGAACACCAGCTGGGACGTGGGCGCATGCACAACTGCAGGTGAGTTGGGAGAGAACTCATGTGCCCGGAAAGATGGCTCTGTGTGCCACCTCGGGCACACTTGCCATAGATTTGCTATCACGGGGTTAAGACATCAAGTTAGAAACCAGAAAACTGCATGAAGCGAGCTGGATGATCTTGGTCCAATCTCTCTCATCCCTAAGGAAGAGGCAATGGCAAACCACTTCTGGAAAACCTTGCCAAGAAAACTACAGGGAACAGTCCAGGCAGTCTCCAGGAGTCAAAAATTGACTAAAGGCCCACATATATAAACATACATATTTATGGAGTTAATATGCCTCTGCAATCATGCCTGACTCTGTGAGTTACAGACTTCCAAAACAGCAATAGGCACAATATATGAACAGCAAAATAAAAGAATACCAGCAGAATAAATAGCCGACCATGGCATTATAATTAGGAGACTGCCAACCAAAATTGAATAAGTTGCACAAGTTGGGCACAGTCATGTTGTTATTCCCATTTTTGAATTTCTGGAACATCGTCTTAAAAATATAATTAACATACAGGTAGCCCTCAACTTACGACCACAATCGAGCCCACAATTTATGTTGCTTAAGTGAGACATTTGTTAAGTGAGTTTTGCCCCATTTGATGACTTTTCTTGACACATTTGTTAAGTGAATCACCTCAGTTGTTAAATTAGTAACACAGTGGTTAAGTGAATCTGGCTTCCCCATTGACTTTGCTTGTCAGAAGAGTGCAAAAGGGGATCACATGACCCAGGGACACTGAAACCGTCATAAATGTGAGTCAGTTGTCAAGCCTCTAAATCAGAGGTAGGTTTCAGCAGGTTCTGACCAGTTCTGGAGAACCAGTAGAGAAATTTTTAGTAGTTCGGAGAACCGGTAGTAAAAACTCTGATTGGCCCCACCCCCATCTATTCTCTGCCTCCCAAGTCCCAGCTGATCGGGAGGGAATGGGGATTTTGCAGTATCCTTCCCCTGCCACGCCTACCAAGCCACGCCCACAGAACCAGTAGTAAAAATTTTTGAAACCCACCACTGATCTAAATGTAAATCACGTGACCATGGGGATGCTGCAATAAGTGTGAAAATGGTCATAAGTCACTTTTTTCAGTGCCACTGTAACTTTGAATAGTCACTAAGTGAACTGTTTTAAATTGAGGACTACCTGTATCTAGTTCGATGTTCTCTCCGCTCCCCCCCCCCCCCCCCCCCCCCCCCCCCCCGGCCGAATGCTTTGGGAACATTCTGATAAAGCTGGAGATGTTAACAATTGTGAACCTCATTTATGGAAATTTATGGCAGAGAGGTCCAAACAACCAGCTTCATCTTCTATTTTATTACTTTCCTGTATTTCCCCACTGCTTCTTTCCCTTTCATGCTTTCCATCAAGGAGGATAGCAATGAATAATGCACAAATCTTTTATGACTACCTCCCCTCTCCACATCTGGGAGTATTCCTTATTTCATCCCACCCTCAGAAGCATGGAAAGAGCCACGTGTTCAGTAACACAGAACACAAAATGGGAGAGGGGAGGATCATAAATCCCTCCGATCCACAAGATCTTAAAATAGGGCTGCCGCATGAAGGCCATGCAACATTCTCATTAAACATGGATAGGATTGGACTGTATTCTATGCTGCAGTTTATCCATTACTGTGCTTGTATTTAAGAGGCAGAAGAAAAAAAACCCGCATTGAGGCTGCAAAAGAGAGAGAGAAAAATTACATCCAAGGCCACTTTAGGGAGTCTACTGTTTTGCCCCGATCTGAGTTTGGCTGTTTGAGCAGAATCAAGAATCAACTGCAAACGGGTAACGTTTAAGATCTGATTTCTACAATTCATTCCTCCCTATCTCCAAAATCATCCCTCTTAAAATCTGGGATCCTTCCCAAATATACAGGGAAGAAAAATAAAATCAGAAGACGGGAACACTGTGCATGCCATCTTGAGCTCCTGAATGAAAACCAATTTTAATAAATAAATCAAAAAAATCAGCCTTCCACAATGTACTTATATCCATATGCATTGGGTCACGATATTAGTCATCTCAAATGAGACTATTCTGGATGGGCAGTTATGAGAGTTATAATCCCAACACTTCTGGACCAGGAAATAATAGATCCATTGTGCTAGGACCATGTTTCTTTCTCCCTATTTGAGAGTATACAGGTAGTCCTCGACGTACAACCACAATTGAGCCCAAAATTATTGTTGCTAAGTGAGACATTTGTCAAGTGAGTTTTGCCCCATTTTGCGACCTTTCTTGCCACAATTGTTAAGTGACTCACTGCAGTTGTTAAATTAGTAACATTAAGCGAATCTGACTTCCTCATTGATTTTGCTTGTCAGAAGGTCGCAAAAGGGGATCCCATGACCCTGAGATACTGCAATCTTCATAAATACGAACCATTTGCCAAGCATCCGAATTTTGACCACGTGACCACGGGGATGCTGCAAAGCTCATAAGTGTGGAAAAAAGCAGCCATAAGTCACTTTTTTCAGTGCTGTTGTAACTTTGAGCAATTACTAAATGAACTATTGTATTATTATTATTATTATTATTATTATTATTATTATTATTATTATTATTATTTATTAATTAAATTTATATACCGCCCTACTCCCGAAGGACTCAGGGCGGTGAACAGGCAAAAGATAAAATACACATAGTACAAACGTTAAAAACCATTTAAAATACATTAAATACTTTGGCCCAAAACAAATTTAAAACACCCCAATTTATAAAACAAATTTAAAAGCAATTAAAAGGGAGGTTAGGCCAGACCAGCCTGCTGGAATAAGAATGTTTTGAGGGCACGGCGGAAAGTGCGCAAATCCGTGATCCTCCGTATCTCCTCGGATATGTATGTCTCAACAGGACATACAGACCTGGGCATTTTACAGTCAGATCTTTTGGCTGTCCCTCTCTGGTCTGCACTAGGTCAATCAGAAATTAGAAATCAAATGTAAATAAGATGTAATGTGTATTCCTACCAGTAGCAGCTAATCAAAACCGGTTCAGCCTGTTGGTTCGGCCCTCCATAATAGTCCCAGTTTTGTATTAAAATAAAGGAAGGAGGTGGTAGAAGAGCAGACCCAAACAACTAATTAGCAAATGGAAGTTAAAGAATAAGATGAATGAATAATGATTAATGATGGACAAAAGACTGTACATTTGAATACGTTGATAAAAAATATAAAACTTTTATTAAAAAAAAAACACCAGTCCCAGTTTCTCAAGTGGGAAAATTAATTGGCCGCCCCTGGTATACAGTATATGTGCAAGTTAGTAGCTTGCCCCAAAGCAATATTCTGGAAAAAAGCCTCATACGAAGAAGAATCTACGGAATCGCGCAATGGAAAACTGGCAAAGTTTTCCAACCAAAAATGCTGCGCCTTCTCAGACCTCTTCAGATGACCTTGATCCTGTTTCCTTCAAACCAGATGCTCTCCTTAACCCCTGCTTCTCTAGAAGCATTGTGTGGTGTCAGACTTAGCATTCCTTGGGGAAATCATAGTTTAAAAGGAATCCCATGATAGAAAATAAGAGTATCGGTCTTTACATGGGAAAATCAGAAAATGCTAAGCTTTCCCGCTCAAATTTCTGGTAGCCAGCCCACTGCAAGCATGGCTGTTAGACAAAGAAGGCAGGAATGCTGTTGTTTCTTTTTGCTACACACTTGCATAGTGCGTACTCTGACCTTATCTTCCTTGCTGCTCTCCATGGTAACTGCAGCTCCCGGGCGTGATTCAGTGTGGAGAACAGAGAAAGCTGTAGATATCTCCATAAGAAAAAGTCAGTTTGCAGTCTTTTTCTCAGGCAGGGATGGGCCAAAAATAGATTGGAATGTACTGGGCAAGATCTCTAGATGACTTGCAGAAGATGTGCAAACTATTGGCTTTTCAGTTTAACTCAAAAATCTTTTGCTGGTTTCTGAAATGAAGAGAACCTCGGGGGAGGGGGGGATTCAGGGGAAGAGGAAAATCAAGAACTTGAATATTTGGATGAAGCGGTTCTTCATATCTCTTAGGTTTGGGGAAGATGTGTTTAAGCAAGTAGTTTTGCTCTCGCTACTGTGAGAGATTCCCGAGTAGAGCAAATACTCATGCTTGCCGTTTAATGTGTTTATTGCCGTTTAATGTGTTTATCTGTTGTGCTATGTTTATCCCATTGTTCACCTCAGTGCATATTTGCTCAGTGAGCTACTAGTCAAAACACTTAAGTCCAGGTAGTGAATCTTAAGGATTTAAAGTTGGGGGGGGTTGTTTTGTTTTTTAAAGACCCTACAAACCTGGAATCCCTTTTCAGTCTGCTGCTCTGCAGATATTTTGATGTATAATTCCCCAAATTCACAGATAAGAATTATAGCACAACATGCTTATTGGGGAACACATTTCTAGAGATGCAAACACCTCCTCTATTTCCTGATCTCTCTTTCCTTCAAAGAGGTAAAGCTAAATATTATTAGAGTGACTGACACCTGGGTGATCGGAGCCAAAAGAATAGAAACCAGAGAGCAGCCGATTCAAATCTTCACTCGACTATGAAACTAATTGGGTGGACCTCAGCCAACTAACTAGGCGATATTTTCTTAGCCTACTTTACCTTTAAGGGTTGTTAGAAGGAGAAATAGACAAAAGTCCTACCAAAGTGAGTTCTTTTCAGCACGAATTGAAATATAACAAATAAGCTCTCCAAATAATCTCACTATGTCTAATATAACATGACTGATATACCGCTTAACAAGACACTTCAGTATCTGAGTTGAAAGATAATAAAATGCGCCCACCTCGGAGATACAAGGTCTACTTACAACCCACCATATCTCTTAGGTTTAGGGAAGGTGAGCTTAAGTAAGCAGAAGCGTTAAGCTACCAATCTGGAAAGGTTCCGTTTGTTTTTGGCACGCATTTGCAAAGGTAAGTGAATACTTGATGAGTACAAATTTCAAGGGAAGAACATACATTTCGGTGAGGCAATCCCAAATTTCATCTCTTTACTTCCTATATTCTAACAGGGAGAATAGTTTAGCCATTCAGCTGGGAATCAGCCAGAGGTGGGACATCAGTTGACTAAAATGCCTGTACAGATCAATCCTCAGAAACCATACCCACACATACAGTGTCTTTAAATTTGATGCGTGTCAGACCAAAAAACCACAGAAATAGCAGTTGCATCTTGAATTTTGCCCTCTGCACTCAATCCCAATCCGGGCTAGTATGATTGGTTAGTAAAATTTTAAGCTGGCGAACCCTACTTGAAGAAAATAGCATGTGCTTTATGATCTCCTGCTTTAGGGCAAAAATATAAAAAAGATCCTGAAATTCATACTTTTGAATAGGAGCAGATGACATAATTATTTCCCTAACTCACATATTCTTATATTAAAAAAAAAAAATCCCATTACCCTTTGTTAGCAAGAAACAGAAAACACTCGATGTGCTTGCTGATATTCTGCTTCCATTTCACCCTCACTCCCCAGGGAAGAGTCCCTTGTTGCATTCATTTGTCCTCCTCACCTTGCATCTTGGCTTGAAGTTGTCCTTGGTTCAGGTCCCAGATGCCAAAACAGCACTGGTTGTGAGGACACTGGATTGTGCCATTGCGGCCATCTTCCAAGATTAAGCCCTGAAGATGCTCCAGTCCCTCAGTCAGAGCATTGGATCCATAGGAGACACAGCTACGGTTTTTACTCAGGGCATCCACATACCTACTTTGCTTTGCCAGCATCAAAAGCCAAAGGAGAAAGCTGTGGAACCCCATCTATTTTCCAGCAGCACCTGGTCTGGGTATGCAAACCCAGCTTGCCCGCTTTGGTGTCTCTCCTCCAGGCCCAGGTGGGAAGGACTTGGCAAGCTCCAGTGTGTGGGATGGGACTGACTCCTGTCAGCTAGTGACCACAAGCGAACAGGGGAGGCAGGCAATGAATGTAGTCAAGGAAGGACAAAAATGAACCTCTACTAGATCTGTCTTTATTCCTATGTTTCTGAGATACCATAGAAAGAAAGAAAATCACCTCCCACAAGACAGCTGCGTTCATCCGAGGAAAAACAACTCCCCTGAAAACTCAAGGAAAGAATTTGAAGTGCCCTGAGTTGAGATATCAACTATATAGGCCAAGGACATCTTTTCAGGTTTAGATACACATGTGAATGATGCTTGTGGGAGGCAGGCAGAATAGCATTTGGAGGTGGTTATCAGCAAACCTTAAAACCCATTTAGACAGATGTGTTTAATATGTCGCACATTTGGAGTGTGGAGAATTTGGAGGAGAAGGAGTGTCATAAAAACTACAGAAGTGCAGTATTATCAATATGGAACAATCCACCTCCCGTATATTGTAACTTAGTGTAGTGTATGTAGTTGTTTAGCTTTGTAGAACCAGTTAATTAGCTAGAAGTACAAATGACCCTGAGAAAGTATCCAGCTGCTTTGAAACACTGATTAGAATTGGGGATGTGTGTCCCCTCCCATCTTGATAGAGTTCTGACCATAGGAACATTTCAGCACTATAATAATACTGCACATTTCCATCTTATTCTTCTTCACATTTTAAAAAACTTTTCTATTTTCTAAATTTGGGGTCAGATAATGGCTTTGGAAAGCAAGACAAGGAAACAATCTACCTAAGAATTTGGAGACCTCTCATCAGTCATAGCAGATTGTTCTAAGTTATTTGGCCAACTGTAGGCCAACTTAGCTCAGCTGCATATATGCAGACTTTGAGAAGCCTTGGGTTTCTCAACTCCAAGATAAATACTGTATCATGTGTAATAGGCTAGGCTAATGTCTGTCTAGAAACTAGATTAACAGATAAACAGATTTTAACAGAGTTGGAAGGGACCCTGTAGGTCATCTAGTCCAACCTCACCCCCACCCAAGCAGAAGACCCTACATCATTTCTGACAGATGGCAGTCCAGTCTCTTCATGAAAGCCTCCAGTGATGAAGCTCCCACAACTTCTGAAGGCAAGCTGTTCCATTGATTGATTGTTCTCACTGTCAAAAAATTCCTCCTTATTTCTAGGTTGAATCTCTCCTCAGTCTGTTTCCATCCATTATTCCTTGTCCAGCCTTTAGGTGCTTCGGAAAACAGGTTGACCCCTTCCTCTCTGTGACAGCCCCTTAAATATTGGAACACTGCTATCATGTCTCCCCTTGTCCTTCTTTTCACTAGACTAGCATGCCCAGTTCCTGTAACCGTTCTTCATGTTTTAGCCTCCAGTCTCCTAATCATCTTTGTTGCTCTTCTCTGCACTCTTTCTAGAGTTTCAACATCTTTTTTATAGTGTGGTGACCAAAACTGGATGCAGTATTCTAGATATCCTAGCATTGCCAGAATTGCTGCCTTTACAACTCCCTGGAGTCTTGATCATTCTAGAACTTGGGAGATGTAGTTGGAGCTGGAGGGGTTGCAGGGAGCTGATCTGGGGAACTGAGGCACAAGGCCAATTGTGGCTCTGATCCAATTACTTTCTGCCAGGTTTTAGCTCATTTTCTGTATAACGGGAATCTCTCTGTATTAAAAAAATCAGGTACATAGACACATGCATAAAACTCTTTCATAAAATAGGTACACCATACAAATGGACAGAGAATATAATGACTGTTATGACTATTATTCTAAAAAGCCATGTTCAGTTTTTAATTACTGTAGAGAGAAATGAATGTCCCTGTATTCATTACTGTTACAGTCAGAATGAAGTTTCAAGTGATGTGGAAAAAAATTATGGTCAGCTGCTACATACAACTGTCTCTGTACAGGTAGTCCTTGATTTATGACCACAAATGAGCCCAACATTTATGTTGCTAAGTGAGAAATTTGTTAAGTGAATTTTGCCCCATTTTAGGACTTTTCTTGCCACATTTGTTAAGCAAATCACTGCAATTGTTCAATTAGTAACACGGTTGTTAAGAGAATCTGGCTTTCCTATTGACTTTGCTGGTCAGAAGATCACAAAAGATGATCACATGACCCCAGAACACTCCAACCGTCATAAATATGAGTCAGTTGCCAAGTATCTGAGTTTTGATCACGTGACCATTGAGATACTGCAGTGGTCATAAGTGCAAAAAATGGTCATAAGTCACTTTTTTCAGTGCCATTGTAACTTTGAATGGTCATTAAATGAACTGTTGTAAATTGAGGATTACCTGTATATGAGGTCAGCTACAATGTAATGACAAAGGTTTTCTTATGGACAGATTACTAAAAAGATTATTACTTGAATGGGCATCTGATTGCAAGCACTGTGCTCTAATCATGTACTACCATGAATGGACACTTGTGTAAAAAGAGAAACTATTTGCATAAAATTTATAATTAAAAACCTGCTTTTTGGCATTAGAATATGTCCTGTGGCAACTTTTAAAAGATAAAAAGGACACCTTAAGGCTGGACAAGAAATAACCGATGGAAACTTGTCAAGGAGAAATCCCATCTAAAACTAAAGAGAAATTTCCTGACTGAGAATAATTAATCAGTGAAACAACATGCCTCCACAAATTGTGGGTGCTCCATCACTAGAAATCTTTAGGAAGAGATTGGACAGCCATTTGTCTGAAATGGCATAGGGCCGTGATGGCGAACCTATGCCACGGGTGCCACAGGTGGCACGCGGAGCCATATTGGTGGGCACGTGAGTGTTGCCCTAGCTGAGCTCCAGCGCACATGTGCGCACTGGCCAACTGATTTTTAGGCCTTCCGGTCCCACCAGAAGTCGGGAAACTGGCTGTTTCCGGCCTCCGGAAGGCCTCCGAGGGAATGGGGAAGGCTGTTTTTGCCCTCCCCAGGCTCCTAGGAAGCCTCTGGAACCTGGGGAGGGGGAAAAACGGGCCTACTGGGACTACCGGGCCCACCGTGTCATTGTGTGCCAAAAGCAGGGGGGAAGTGTGTGGGGGTCATGTGCGCATGCACGGGAGGGCGGGGCACATTGAATTATGGATGGGGGCACACGTACCCGCGACCCTCCATGCTCCCCCCGCTTTTGGCACGCGATGGCAAAAAGGTTAGCCATCACTGGCATAGGGTCTCCTACTTGAGCAGGGGTTTGGACTAGATGACCTCCAAAATCTCTTCCAACTCTTGTTATTCTGAAAGTCTAGGGACCTTTATACCACATACTTTTCCATTGAAATTCCCAAGGTATTTAGAATTTTGTTAGAAATTAATCAACATTGCTGTGATAGCACGGGACAACAGTTTTTATGTGAGAATTTCCCATAAGAAACATGTATTTCCCAAGCTTGGTCATCTCCAAGAAATATGGAATACAACTCCCAGCATTCATAGCTACTTGGCCATTTGGTTAGACATCAGAGCTGCTCTTAAGCCTACATTTAAGCCATGATGCCTGGGAAGTAAAGTCCAAGTATACCCACAAAGATGAGGGAAGTCTGATCTATATCTGGTGATTGGCCTCTGGATGGTTTTATCCAAAGCTACATCTTAAAGAGTATATTTGTTTCAGTTACCTCGAATACCATTTCCCCATCCAATAGTACAGTATGCAAGGGTTTCTGTATTCTCCTATTTCCTTTTGGTTGCTTAAAAAACACAATCCCACAATGGCATAAATAGAGCTGAAGCAGCTTTGGTTGGTGGTGTAAACACTTCTGCGGAATGCATCTATTTTTCCAGCTCCACTTCGCTTTACTTTATGACCATCTCAATGCTCTGTCATATTCAGGTTGATAAATAACTTTGCTGTAGACAAAGCATACTCCTCCCTTTTCAGTACTCAGTGCTGGTCCTTCCCAGGTTTGCCTGTATCTGCTCATGTTAAGAACAATAAATATTCCTCGAATAAGGACATGGGTATCTATCAAGAGCGGGCTCTTACTTTCTTTGCACTAGAATTCTCAAGATTCTCATTTCATGGGAAGTGGTGTAAAATGACAAAGAATCATCTCAAAATTGCAGAGCTTAGTTATGACAGCTCAGGGGGAAAGGAAACTGGTCTCCAGTTGTTATCTTTCCTCACCTGGCTGGAGCTGCTGGGACTGGTGATTAATCCAGAAGGCCATAGCTAGCTCACCATAAGTAGTGGTTAAATGACCTTGATTATCTCAAGGGCATTAGTATCTTGATCAATCCCCAAAATCTTTCAATAAATCCCAGCAAGCAGCAGACAGAAAACCCTGGGGGGAAAAAAGACAAATGATCTCTTGCTTCTAAGAATATCATCTGGATTATAAAGCCCGCTGTTTTATTTACAGTACATAAACTACAAGCAGTGACAGATTTATCCAGGAAAGCCTCAAACAGGTTTTGCCCTTTGATCTGAGTTAAAATTACCATTTCGGCCAAGGCCTTGATCAAATTCTCTCCAAATACCTACAACTAATCTTTTTCTACAGATTTTTAAAATACCGGTCCCCCTCTGTATACACTTTTTTCTGTCCTCATTTTTATTCTAGATTTCCAAAACTATTCATGGTGGTGAAAGGACAGCCAACTTTCCTACAGCCAATATAGCAATGCTGCCCTCTTGAGTTAATTGCAGTGTAAAAACAGCCATGTTTGGATAGGGTACTCTTGACTTGAATCATTACGGTATTCAGCTGGAAGCAGTGGTGGGATTCAGCCAGTTTGCACCACTTCGGGAGAACCGGTTGTTAACTTTCTGAGCAGTTTGGAAAACTGGTTGTTGGAAGAAATCATGAGAGCAGAGAACCGGTTGTTAAATTACTTGAATCCCACCACTGGCTGGAAGTCATATCTGAAGCACTGGTCATAACTTGCTTTTAATCTTTATATATTTGTTTTTATCAAGTTTGTCACGTGAGAATTATCCTGTCTCCAAGTCGGAGAAATGGAGAAGGACAAAATAAAGGACAAAATATTGCAGCATGCTAAGAGAAAACTTACTTCCACGTAAAGTAACCCAGATTACCTTCTAGTATGAAAATAGCAATAGCACTTAGACTTATATACCGCTTCACAGTAT